TGGCCGCGGCAAATACGCTGACGAGCCTATCCTCATAATTGGCGGCTCTTCTGCTGTCGGTCAGCAGGGTATGCCCGCTCTCGTGACATTCACGGTAGGAGGTGCTGATTATATGCGCAGCAATTCAATTCGCGAAGCTGTCCGGCTTCTCGCTTATCATCACGACAGGCTCGCTGCATAATGAGGCGTACCTCAAGTCGCTCGGTGTGACGCATGTCATTGACCGCACCGCACCGCTATCTGCTCTTCCCGCGGCAGTCAAGGCGATCACGAGCAAGCCCGTCAAAATCGCGTACGACGCCGTTTCAGAGTCAGAGACGCAAAACGCTGCGTACGACGTCCTCGCACCCGGTGGCAAGCTCGTAATTGTTCTTGACAGAGCAGTCGACAAGGATAAAATCACGTCCGAAAAAGAGATTTCGAATGTACATGCCGCGGTACACATGCCTGTTCAACGTGAAGTTAGCAAAATTCTGTACGCTAACCTGACGGGCCTGCTCGAGAGTGGCGCGATTAAGGCAGGTTTTTTATTTGAACCTTGAATGACGACCTGTGCTTACGGCTTCGCGCAGCCCAACAACATCGAGGTGCTGCCTGGTGGGCTTGCGGGTATCTCTGAAGGTTTAGAGAAGCTCAAGAAGGGTGTCAGCGCTGTGAAGCTCGTTGTACACCCGCAGGAGACTGCCTAAACCCCCTAGCATGGCACAAGGAGCTGCTGTATATTAGACGGACTTTCCTTGGCTCTTATTGATATTTAGCGGCAGGAGCCAATCAAAGATGCCTAGCCGAGATATTGATCGTAGGGATTGAATAGCCACACCAGTGCGACTTGGGAACTAGTAGTAATGTACTTTCCAGGCACAATGATGCTCGTAAGTCAGGCGTGATGTTTCTTTCAGCACAGATTGAAGAACGCGCACAACTTAGGGACTTGGTTGCTTGGACACGCAGTCTAGTTTCAAGGAGCCATGCTCAACGAGGACGCCGCTTACCTCTAGAGGGAGCATATCCTCGGAAGCATTGCAACAGGACATGCTTGTTCGTTCGCACATGTATGTCCGAAACATCTAATCGCGCTCTCCGACTGGCTTTCTGCATAGTACACTAGATTGCAGGGTCGGCATCTCCTCTGGTCCAGGTGATGTTGGTCTGAGTTCAGCGTCACGCCGCTATACCGACAGCTGCCACAAGTATTCAACAGCTTCGGCGACGAGACGTTTGAACACGCTCGTATATCTAATGTGCCACGTTTTCCGGCGACATTACTCGCTTGTACAGCACTTGTCAGCAACATTACGAAAGCCGCCCATCGCGGGCAGCGTGTGAAAATATCATTATTGATGCGGAGCTGGCCAGAGTTCAAATTTCAAAGCTTGGTTCAAACTTGTGAGGGGACTCAGGCAAAAGCGGCTAAACAAGGTCCAGTTATTCCTCGATTCTACGCCGATGCAAACTGAGGAGAAACTGGTGCGAAACCAGCCAAAAATGGTCTAAAACACAGTAAAACTAGCGGAAAACTGAGTTTTGCCTTCGGTTTTCTTAGGTGAAAACCGGAGAAAGTTGGGGTCTTGTTCAATCAGTTTTTGGCCAATTTTACGCCAGAAAAAGCGCGCTTACCACCCAGTGTTTGTTCTCATCAGGATATTGAAAGATGTGAGTTGCGCAGCGTTTTCAAATCACATTGACGTGGCCTGGGTTTGCGACGATTTGCCTTATCAATCAGCTTACACGTTGGGGTCAATGAGGTACCGCAATGTCTCGCGGCGCGCAGAGGGTCGGCGAGATATGCGCACGGCTTATTCATGCCAGGTAGCAGCATATTGCAAACACCGCAGTCCTGTCTGTTCGTGTATATATATGGGCACATTTGGCCTACACCGGCAACACCACTTCTGCATCTTCACCTAAATCATCCACAGCATGTCTACTCAGAAGGCTCTATATCTCCTCCAGGCCAAGGGACAATTCGCGGTCAGGGAAAGGGACATCCAAGAGCCGAGCTCTGGCGAGGTTCTCGTCGAAATTCACGCGACTGCACTCAACCCCATTGAGTGGAAGATCCAGGCCTTCGGACTCTTCATCACCGAGTACCCCATTGTCCTCGGTGTCGACGCGGCGGGAATTGTGAAGAAACTCGGCGCCGGAGTGACCGACGTCTCCGTCGGCGACAAGGTGTGAGTACAAGGCATATTGCGTTCAAGCTATCATAAAGTGCCCACGGTCCATAGGCTCTTCCAAGGAAAATTCAATACACGCTATTCCACGTTCCAACAGTATACTGTTGCACCCGCCGAGCTTGTCGCCAAGGTACGTTATCCATTTCTGCGCGCCTTGCTTATCTGACGATCTCTACAGGTCCCATCGAACCTGACTTTGGACCAGGCTTCTGCGATCCCAGCAGCGGTCGCTACCGCTTCTCTAGGTCTCTACTCTCACAACGAGGCAGATGGCATCGCTCTCACCGCGCCCTGGGAGGAGGGTGGCCGCGGCAAGTACACCGGAGAGCCTATCCTCATCATCGGCGGCTCTTCTGCTGTCGGTCAGCAGGGTACGCTCTCTCTCACGCTGTCTGCGGAGTGGGGTGCTGATATCATACGCAGCAATCCAGTTCGCGAAGCTCTCCGGCTTCTCACCCATTATCACGACAGGCTCGCTGCACAACGAGGCATACCTTAAGTCGCTCGGTGCGACGCATGTCATTGACCGCAGCACGCCGCTGTCTACCCTACCCGCGGTAGTCAAGGAGATCACGAGCAATCCTATCAAGGTCGCATACGACGCTATTTCAGAGTCAGAGACGCAGAACGCCGCGTACGACGTCCTCGCACCCGGCGGCAGGCTCGTGATTGTCCTCCCAGGGGCTGTTGACAAGGTCAAAATCACGCCTGAGAAGGAGATCTCGCCTGTTGCTGGCTCCCCGCATGCACCGGGGAAACATGAGATTGGCAGGAACCTGTATGCTAACTTGACAGGTCTGCTTGAGAGCGGTGCAATCAAAGTGAGCTTTTGCGTTGAGACATTGACAACGAATCCGTGCTCACGAGTTACATAGCCGAACAACATTGAAGTGCTGTCTGGCGGGCTTGCGGGTATCCCCGAAGGTGTGGAGAGGCTCAAGAAGGGTGTTAGTGCCCTGAAGCTCGTTGTCCATCCGCAGGAGACTGTTTGATCTCCCTGCAATGGTACAGGAAGTACTGTATATTATTGTGAACTTCAACTGCATCACGGTAAACACGAACTGTCCGATGGCTGAGCTGGCTCCGACTTATTTTTGATACGACTTGTGGACTAGTAACGTACTTGATAGACGTGAACTGCACCTCTTGTGTTGGCGCGACCATACAACGATGGCCTTGGACGATTTCTTACTCGCATTCTGATTGAAGCAGATGAACGCCATGGCTCGTGCACAGCATCACGGCTAGCAGAACATGGAGAGCTTTCGTCGAATGAGAAAATGATCTGTAAGCGAAAGAAATCGCCGAGCAATACTACATGAGGATATAAATTTTTCGCTACGCCAGGCAGTGGTGTCACAGGATGCAAAGCGCTGCCAACGACGAGCAGCTGCTCAACACTCAGCTCACTGCAGGCACTAGATGGTTCGGCCCAGTAACCAGCGAGGTGGGAAGACAAGTGCGCTCTGAAAGACTAGCGAGGTAAGCGTTTGCGAGGAGCAGCCGTTCCCACATGGCGAGGGGAGTTTCCTAGCACAGATAAGGTGCGTACGCTGCCTCCAGAGCCCAATTTTGCTATCAATAATGGCGTTGGTGCGAATTGAAGCGCTTGATATTGACTGATTGCAGCTCCAGGTTGTCTTCTCCCACTGCCATTGAATACGCGAACGAATTTCTAGTGTCTGAGCGAGTTTGTAAACGGGTGCACCGAGGCTTTTCACGCAATTGAGATGGCGTTGGTTCATGTCAGCAGCTGTAGTAGTGTCATCTACCGAGGCCCGAGGCGGGCCGTGAGGGTAAGCGTAGTGTGCAGATATCATCATCAACGCTCTGACACTTCCACTACCGGAGCGCCAGGCTCAACCTTCTCACAAGAAGAGTAGGAATATTATCCGTGTTCTTCGGCTGTGAGTTTGGCGTTCAAGGCGATAGCACTTTGCTCCCCGGGATAATGCGAGATGGAAGTGCATCTGACACGGTATGTTCCAATCACGTCACGGTTAGCGTAGTGCGAGGTTGCAGCTAGCCTTACCAATCATCTTACGCATGCTGCCGCGAGGACGACATGGCACTGCAACGCAGCGATTCTTGCGGTGCACATAGTGTTACCAAGATATGTACATTCCTGATGCTTCTTCGTAGAGACCTGCGAGCATCGTAGTTCGACACTTCGCATATATATGGGCACGTTTGGCTTGCCTCAGCACCACCACTTCTACTCTTCACCTAAAATATCCTTGATATGTCTTCCCAGAAGGCTCTTTATCTCCTCCAAGCTAAAGGCCAATTCGCGATCAAGGAGAGGGATATCCAAGAACCAGGCCCCAACGAGGTCCTCGTTGAGATCCACGCGACTGCGCTTAATCCCGCCGAGTGGAAGGTCCAGACGTATGGAATCTTCATCACCGAGTACCCTGCTATCCTCGGTTGTGACGCGGCGGGAATTGTTAAGAAGGTTGGTGCTGGAGTGACCGACATCTCCGTCGGTGACAGGATGTAAGTATAAGGCACATCGAATTATTATGAGGCACTGATGGCCAGTAGACTTTTCCAGGGAGACTATGGCAATCGCTACGCCACATTCCAGCAGTATAGCGTCATGCCAGCAGAGCTCGTCGCCAGAGTGCGTTCCTCAAATATGTATGCCTTGCCCGTCTGACCATCTTCATCAGATCCCGCAGAACCTGACCTTGGACCAGGCTTCTTCGGTCCCAGCCGCAGCAGCGACCGCTGCTCTCGGTTTCTACAACCCCAAGGAGGCGGGTGGCATTGCGCTCACTGCTCCTTGGGAGGAGGGCGGCCGCGGCAAGTACGCTGACGAGCCTATCCTCATCATTGGCGGCTCTTCTGCTGTCGGTCAGCAGGGTACGCTCTCTCCCACAACACCTACTGTATGAGGTGCTGATATTATACGCAGCGATTCAATTTGCGAAGCTCTCTGGCTTCTCGCCTATCATCACTATAGGCTCGCTTCGCAACGAGGCGTACCTCAAGTCGCTCGGTGTGACGCATGTCATTGACCGCGCCGCGCCGCTGTCCGCGCTGCCTGCGGCAGTCAAGGCGATCACGAGCAAGCCTGTCAAGGTCGCATACGACGCCATTTCGGAGTTAGAGACGCAGAACGCTGCGTATGACGTCCTCGCACCGGGCGGCAAGCTTATCATCGTTCTTACGGGGGCAGTCGGCAAGGATAAAATCACGTCCGAAAAAGAGATTTCGAATGTGCATGCCTGGGTTCACACGCCTGATCAGCGTGAAGTTAGCAAAATTCTGTACGCTAACCTGACGGGCCTGCTCGAGAGTGGCGCAATCAAGGTGAGTTTTGGATTTGAACCTTGGGCGGGCGTTCTGTGTTTACGCTTTCATGCAGCCCAACAACATCGAGGTGCTGCCTGGTGGGCTTGCGGGTATCTCTGAAGGTTTAGAGAGGCTCAAGAGGGGCATTAGCGCTGCGAAGCTCGTTGTGCACCCGCAGGAGACTGCCTGAAATCCCTCGTAAATATCTGCTTATATGTATGCAGGTTTCCATTGCGCGAAAATCGCACTTTCTGGGATTCGCTGAATAACACGAAGGTTCGTCAGCTTTGGAGCGTCAATGGTAAGATTGAAGGTGAAGGAAATTTGATGCTCTGTGCCTGTAGAGAAGCTTCGAGCCGATGGGGTCCTGAATGATATTGGACAGAGCTTTGAGCTCTTCCAACGCATTCTGCAAATTGTGAATGATCAGGCCGGCGACAAGCTATGCTAGGAAGCCCACAAACCTCGCGTTCATTTGAGCTCTGAGTCCAGATAATCAAGGCGGGAGCAACTATAAAATGTCTCCATTTCTTATCGCCTGAAGTTGGTGGCTATAAAAGAGCCGCGATCTCATAATTCAAACTAAGCTCCGTCTGCAACGAATACAGAGTACACTTAATATTCTTTTCCTCAGCCGCTGCAAACACACTCTTGAAGGTGCCACTGCGCACTATCTTACGCGCTAGCCAGAGATACTTTATAAGCGCGCGCCCACGGCGTGTATTAAGTGTGCGATCGATCGGAAGGACGTATTTACATGACAGGCGGCGCATACAGAAATTGAGGCCCGCTCATAGCATATAATTTAAGCGAGATGCCCGTACAGCTCTACGCTGGAACACCAATGACCTTGGCCGCACTGAAAGCGAGAGACTGGTGAACTTGTACGACATTCCAGCCTGTCCGCTCCATTAGCTCCTTCATTTGCTTCAGCGTGCGCTCTTTCCCGTTAAGAAGCTCCATCATCTGTTTATTGTGTCAGCCCACCGCAATATTCCTGACGTGAAGGCAGAGGATATACCTGAATGTCTCCGTGATACGGGACGGTTGCGACATGTCCCATGTTCGGTAACAGAGGCTTGGGCGGAACAGAACGTTCGGCACCAGGGATGCCTTTCACACTATCGTCATCCTCGCATGCGTACAAAATGAGGCTGTCGACGACCAAGAGGCGAGTGTTTGGCGCGGCCGCATCACGGAGATGTCGTAGAATGTGGAGACAGTACTTGTCGGACCAATCATGCATTATGTTGCGTAGCAGGAAGACTGAGGCATTCCTGACCGGTTGAGGGGCGAAGAAATCGTGTGCTGCATTAATAATAATAAGCTAGACGATCATCGCCACATGTAAGCCACCCGCCTTGCAAGGTAACCTTCCCAGATTTTAAAGCACCGGGTAATTGGCCATCCCAGAACTAAGGAAGTGATGAATTGACTGATGAGCATACGCGTAAACAAAACATGCCTGAACGGCATCCTTGACGACCGGGTCGCGATCCTGAACGACGAAGCGCAGATGTGAGTGGTTCTGGGCCAGTGTCATCGATTGGCTGCCAATTCCGCCGCCAACGTCCACGACAACCGCATCTTCGTTGAGATCCTTCCAGTCGAAGCCTGATTGCATAGTTCAATTCACACTCAGAACGCGGCAAGCAAGGCACGTACCCTCCAGGATTGCGTTAGGTGGAACTGCTTGTTTTGTGCCCTCCATGGCAATACCAAAGCGCTGGCGACGATGCTCGTTGCCCTTCTGCTCGTACCATTCCCAAACGGGGAGCTTGGTGTCAAAGGCAATATTCAGGGCGGTCTCGTTTGGTTCCTGTGATCTGGCGAATTTTTGGTCGAAAAGTGCCTCCTGCAGATACCCTCCTGATTTCATAGCCTCGTCCGTGCTGCAAACGTCGTTAATTCCACCAAAGATACTGATTATTTGATGATTAGCTCACACATGCCCCACGCCTGCGACGGAGCCGACAGTGTCAACATGCTTGGTCTCGGGGCTGGACACATCGTCGCATTAACAAAGTCATCAGCAGTACGCAAAGAACGCACCTGTCAAGGATAGCTTTGACAGACTTTCCTGTGTCCAGGCAGGAAGAAATGCGGTTGTGCGCAAACACATCAGGCACGACCTCAACGAAAATGTGATTGGTGGCGAGCAAGCGAAGGACACGAGCTAAGGTAGAGGTTAGGCGCGTATTTAGAGGAAGGGTAGTGACATACCAAGCTTCGACGGATCAATGTTACTTGCCCGAGCGATCTCAATGACATGGGCACCCTGCAACAAGATACGATGAGCTCATAGCTCGAGCGTAACGTGAGGTCACGACAGACATTGGGGCCGGCTTCCCTCAAAACTTCGGCCACGTTTGCCGCGGCAGCCACGCCCAGCGCGGCGGACAGAGTGTACTGCGTACAGATAAGTCGGAGGGTGCTGGTCCACTCAACATGCCCGAGCATACCAGCGTCCCCACAACTATGAGGGTGAGCCTCGGCGAACGGACGGAATTGATGAGTTGGTAGGCGGCGGAAATAATCAGTGCACATGCTCTGTCGACCTCAGGCTGCATGCGCGCTGCCTCCGACTCAACGGATATCGAGGTGTAAGGCGAAGGGAACTCCGTATTCTTGGATGCCAGAGAAGCTTCGATGGAACTGATAGAGTCTTGAATAATCTTGGAGAGAGCCTTCAGCTCTGAAAGAGCATCTACAGCTCCATTGGCAGCAGCACTAGCCATGGAGGACGTCAGCTATGCCGCGCGCGTCATAACGTTATCTGCGTACCAATTGCTCATTGTTTCCGATGCCGTGCCGGGCTTAGAGCCAACCTTGGAACGGGGCAAGGGCAGGGAGAGTTTAGAACCTATTTTGGCTAACGTTGAAGAAACAAGAGAGGAAAGAGAGGGGCAAGGGGGCACTGGCCGTCTCCTGTCGACTATAAGTGAGCTGCCTCAATGCCCAAGACTTGATGTCAGTGAGATCCCTACATATCCCACAAAATGTCCGATCTTGGGCCTCTTTGGGCGGTTTGTACCCGAGTTTTTTGCCCTGGTTTGTATCTGAACCAACTATCACGCTTTAAAGAGAGGAAACTTGGAATAGTTAGAGTTTTACAACTGCGGTGCGCCGAAAGAGAGCAGAACGGTCCACAGTAGCCCCACGGGCCATCTGCGGCACAAGGCGAATATGATGAGCTTGGGAATGGAAACGTTGCAGATTGGAGTCTAGCAGGGTGCCCGTAGGCGTACAACCGGTAAGTGTGTGTTCGGACCTCAGGCACCAGATCCAAGAAGCGACATCGTAGCGCCTACCACTATGAGGATCCAGTGCTCCGTTTGGTGCGCACGGGATTCTGGAGCTGTACCTTCCTGCTACTACGAAAGGGTACCTGAAAATGAGGAGCACTGCGTCCTGAACTTTGCGCAGCCACCACTTGAGAGCATCAGGTTTGAAGGCACTGATGAGAAGACGGCACTATACCCGGATACGTGGAGGACTTGGGAATTTGCCCACGTCTTGAAAGCCGGCAGGTTAAGAGAGCAGTATGCATCTGCTTCTCGTGATACAGTAAGCTGAAGCACAGCGGTCGGTGCCCGCGCAGTGATGCACAAAGCATCGGTCAGCAAATGCGGTATAGGGATAATTCCTCTCACAGCCATTAGCGTCTGCACATCCTCAGGCTCTACATTGTTTTGTCATCCTGTTGAAAAACAAAATCTAAGTGATGGAGAAATATATGAGCCGTACTCTTTCTGGAGATCCGACTCGCCGTCACATTCTCGGCTGTCACATTAAGCTCGAGGCTTGACAGTTTTCTGCGGACCTCGCTCGCTTAGGAAATCATTTCGCGCACTAACCATTTCATTCGTGAGAGCTACCAGCGAAGATGATAGATTGTACTCAGCTTAGATGCAAACAGCCGCTCTTTGAATTCCCCACACCCATCTCCCCCAAACACGCAGGAAAATTCGCCACTGGCAGAGCGTCGTGTGCCGCGCAATTTCTTCGAGTAGGTCCGATACCAGTCACCCTAGCCATAATAAACTCGGTGGCCATTCCAGTGTACCAGCCGCCCATAGTACACCCCGCTACGCGTCCTACCAGCTACCGAGAAGACTAGCCACGAGCCTATTCTCGAGGAGGGCGGGTTTATTTCAGCGTTCTGAGCTTAAGGAGGACACAGCCAGCCGAAGTGATTGATACGAGTAGATACTGATCCAGGAACATTCTGATGACGTGGCAAATGCTGTTCATAGGGGAGGAATGCTGGAACAAATTCCGAGGGCGTGAGGTCAGTGGCGGTACATATGATAGATGAAGAAGTGAACATTTCGTAATGAATGGCGGCAGTCAGCCTTCGCACCGCAGGGGCGAATGAAAAAGCTCTCAGAATGTTATCAGCTAGGTATAAACGCTGTGCCAGTGTAAAGAAGACCTAGACGGCTAGCGTGAAAGTCGACCGTGTGACGATCCAGGGCTTCCTGTATACACATAGCCAAACCCAGTATGAGGCTCTTGAGACCTAAGACGGAAATGATGCAATGATGTACGTCTACCAATAGGGATACGATTATGGCGTACGTGAGAGCACGAGTAGGTCTTTCCAGAGGGTGCTACCTATTGTGCGGGTAAGACGCGAAGCCGAGCCCTTCCAGCACCCGTATACTTTTGGGACTCGCAGGATCGTTCCTGTCTTCGCTCTACAGATCCAGTAGTGTCTACTTTTCCCATCTAATAGTTGCACAAACTACACCCCCACCAGAGCCTGCCTCCGTTAGTTAGAAGACGCGGATAGGAGTTAGAGAGCGGACCTGGAATTAGAGATCCACCGAATATTCCCAGTGACTCCGCGCACACCAGCACGTCCTTTTTTCCCAGAACCTTCTGGCCCTGTCGCTGCATGTACCGATTTCCCAGTAGCGCAGGACCCAGGCCTTGCAAGTATATGCCCGCGTAATGCAATAGTGCTGTATTAGAACAGAGAACGACTAGTGCTGTGTTAGAATGCTGCGCGTCTGTTTCTCTTTTTCTTTTTAGCAGCATGAAGGTGGCATGATGAGGACAAAAGTCATAAGTCCGCTTGCAGAGAGGAAGGTACCTCGATCGCCGTGGACTGAAGAGAAGCTACAGTCGCAGCAAGCTCGAAGCTCAAGTGAGAGTAGCATCTGTGAGTTGAGGAGAGCGCAGGGTCATCGTATAAGCGCCGTAGGAATCTAACCCTAACCACACGAGTAATGTGATGACGTATCGAAGCATTGCAGTCCTGGAGTTTGAAGTAAAACCTTGCATAGCTAATTGAGGCGAGCATGGGTATTGTAAGGAAGCTACCTTTTCGTCCGGTCGTGAAATCTTACTTGCTGTCAGTTCACCCGTCGGCTCTGTAGCGGGAGACCGCCGCTACACTCTTGGCTTGAGCCCGAGAGGAAACCCACAAGGGACGATAAACTCAAGAAGATAAGATGCCGAACAGTAACCTGAGTCTACAGCGACATGAAAGGAAATTCTTCTTCGCTCGTCGCTTGTCCGTCAGTCGAGTCGAAGAAGATGAGGTCGAGCCTGGGAGAGGGCAAGAGATGGTGGGATGAATAGTCCTGATAAGAAACAAAATCAGCATAACGCCACACAGTTCTCTCACTTCTGAGACTGCCTCATCTGCAGGTGATTGTTCAACAGTGGTCAGGCAGCTTTTCAATATGGCTCAATGTGAACGGCGCTCTTCATGCGCATTCAATCTGTCAGGTATCGCCTGCATTTTCTCATAGTAATCAAGTGGGTTTCGTACATCTAACATTGAGATCATATCGTTACTACCGCAGACGTACAGCTAGCCCCAGTGCAAGTCTCAGGATGTCCTTGGGATCGCAGCGGCCGCTAGACTTTCAGGTACTCAATTAGACTGTAAAGCGCAAGGGATACGGTTAGATCCCATACCACGCTGTCGTGTCTGGCCTCGATATCGTGCACTATAAGGCCCTTTCAAGAGAGGGTCTCAGCAGCTGCGCCGACCGCCTTTGAGCCGCTCAAATGTGCCCGGCGTTTAAACCGATGGGACCTCCTACGCCAAATTCGAACGCTTCGAAAAGGTCACCAGACCACAAGGTAATGTCGTAGTGGAGTTGACATTGCCACGGGTCAAGAGCCAGCACAGGTAGCAAAGTCGCAATCTGCGGCCTTGTGGCACTTTTTGTCTGTGATCGCCGGAGACCTCAATATCGCAAGATGTTCACAGTGCTGATCCATACGTGCCCTGGCCTGGGAGTCAGACACTTACTGCGATCCATGTTGCACTCAAGCTCAACTCTCGGCCATCGAGCGCGCTTCGGCCAACATTCTACTCTTGCCAAACGCAGGAAAACTTGCTCATGGTCAACGATCTTGCCAGCATAGCCCTCCTCCTCATGAGATACTTGCGCTCCATGTGCGCTTTTGCAGTGAAACCCACGTCAGATGAGCACAAGGTATGGTCTCTGCAGAGCTTAGCAGGGGCGTTGTGGCCTGAACTTGCATGCAGGGTCCCAATTGCGGAGAGAAAAGCCACACGAACGAGGCCCAATCACGCCACCTGGGCTGCGGACAGTCTGCACGGCATCATAGCTCCCTTAAGGATTGACACCCCATAGACAGTTCCTGAGCAGACTTACTCTCATGGCACATCCCCCCGCAGATACCAGACCATACATGATACTGAGTGTACATCTCTTTGGGAACATTCCTCACATATTGTGACTGTTGGCACTTGACTTCCACCCCATAGGTACTGTATCGCGGGCTCAGAGGATCAAGATGCGTAATCCTGGTGCGCTCGGGAACTATTCGAGACGCCACAATCTGGTACATGGTGGTGAAAGCTCCAGCATTGGGGAGTAACGGCACTAACATAAATACCGTCTCAGTCTGGTGGCAGAGCTCAAGCCGCTGCCTCTCTATCTTACAGCTCAAGCATGGCGGGTCCTGATCCTGTGGCACCGCACGATATCTCAATCTCGGAAACCAATCTCGTTGGTGTCTGGGCATCGGGGCCGCTACTTGGTCAGTAGACGGCGAAAATCTCCTTGTTTGCAGCTCTAATGTATGCCTACGCCATTGTCGCTACGCAGGTCTGAGGTAAATGGCCCGATCGTGAGCGTATTCAGAACTGACGCTGGCTGGTGCTGCAGCATTGCCCTATACATATGCTACATCCGGCTCTTTGCCGACGAGTCCCGCAATATACACAAGACGTTCGTCTACTATTGCGCATTCGGTAAAGTTCCAGCTAACACGGCAGTTGACTAGTACTCTGCTAGCCATTGCGACTCTCCAAGTCATCGTCTCCATAGCCGGCTACATATCTTCTCTTGCGGACCTCGTTCGCGGCTTCATTGTCCACGTTAACGATCCTACAGGGCCAAACGGATACTTCACACCCCCTGGTCGCCCTGCGTACGTCGCTGAATTCGCATTCTGGGCTATAAATGTAAGCACTGGAATGCAGTTCAAGTCCCATTCCGCCCTGACATGTGCCATAGTACATCATAGGGGACGGAATCATGGTGCGGACACCTGGCTTGAGAATATAGCCCCCTTACTAAGCGCTTGTTAGGCCTGGCGATGTTATGTTGTCTGGGGTCGAAACCCATGGATCGGAAGCGTCTACGTAAACATCACTATGAATTATACTCGTGAGATTCTGATTTTTGCCCTTCTGATAGGTCGCATTGGTCGCTGGCTTGGCAGGTGTGTATCAGGTCGGATGCGTAGGTGTCTAGGCTGACTGTCCACCTAGCCGTTTCATTAGCCAACGTCGGTTTTATCGCAGAATCGGCCCACACTACAGATATCTTCGCCGCCACCCATGCTCCTATTGCCCCGCTCGCTCCGTTCTGCATCTCGATGACTGTGCAAGTTAGTGCCACGACGTTGATCACGTGGAAGATTCTCAGGACGTCTCGTTGGGGCGACTTGAACAATAACAAACGTCGCCTTGCGCTTATTTGGGCAGTTATCGAGTCTGGAGCCATCTTGACCAGTGCCACAGCGGTCTTGACAGTTCTTGAAGTCCTGAAGTTCGAGGCTGGCGCGATGATGACGCCTATTATCACCCAACTGAGTGTATGCCTCATGTGCCTCCTGCATGTGTACCATAGCTAACAAACTGATGGCGCCATACAGTTCTTGGTCCCGACATCCATTGTTGTTCGTGCCAGGATGAAGCAGGGCATGGCGAAGAGGGTGATCCCCTTGCACGGACTGCACGGGAACGGCGTCACTCTAAGGGAGAAACGTTCCGACCCTAATGAAGCAAGAGTGCGTGCCTCTGGCCTTCGCGATACCATGTATCGTGGCGTAGCTGCTCACTTATCGCTTACAGAGCCCTGGCGGATCGACTGATAGCACTGCAATCACTGTCTCGATCTCAGTAAGCACTTACGCATCTCGAGCAGGCGACTCTCTGATTACGCTGCGCCCAGACCGCCACCGACTTGAAGGTTGACGAAATATCGTCCTTCCCGTCCCAAGTTTAACTCCCTCAAAACCATTGTTGGAATCTCTACGATATGCTATTGATATCTTTGTGTATGTACTCTAGTTGAGGTCCGCTTGTCATGACTGAAGGCGCGCCGCGGTGACATGTCAACAGCTAGCAAAATTGTCATATAGCTCTGATGTTATGTATTTGTATGGTTGAGTAGCTCTGTATATGACCTGAAAATGTCGTTTTATGGTTGAATAAGCCGACAAAGGCGCTGGAATTCGAGTGTGTTTGCACTTTTGAGGGGAGTACAGCAAGCTGAGCCAAGGCACAGGGTCTGTCAGCGGTTTATCAAAGATTTGTTAACCTGAATGAGTCATGATGACAGCCTATCCTCTTCATCGCCCCATGCGCAATTCTATCGCAGGCCAGCGCGTTAGCCAAGCTCTACAGGACTATAGAACAACAGGTGACGGTGGTGTGCCTGGAGTCTCTAGAGCCTACACGTTATCTCACTACTCGAACCATGCTCCTTTGGGTCGTCTGGATTCCACAGTGTCCCCCGGTACGGTCTCAGATGCAATCTCAGTAACTGACTCACGGTCGCCCACCCGCCGATCGCCCAGGCCTTATAACTCACCAAGAACATTACCACAGAGCTGCGACTTCGACCGCAGCTGTATCTGGCATGATTTTAAATGTAGTATTTTCGTGTGTCTTGTTTAGCGACGCGGTGTGAAAGCTAACGACATAGGTTCAGTTCGTGCTAGCGAGACGAAGCTTCCACTGGCAGCAAGTGACGTCGAATTGCGACTCGAATATGGGATGTAGGGAAATGGCGGCATAGCAGCTACGACTTCACTGTTGGGGGCGTGAATGTCAGGGGCACTGACCGCCGTGGCTGCAGACAACCAGCATCTATGTACATTAATGTTCTCTCCCAACGGCGCTTGCCGCTTGTCATCAAAACATATCCATATTTGGTGCGGGCATCAACCTGGGTTGGTTAGCCGCCGGCGGTGCTTGTGGGCACTGACTCTGACGAGCACACCGCTCGTCTACATAGCATACAGGAATGCGGACCTTGCATCTGTACCGGTACCATTTCATACGTTTGGTTCCGTTCTGCACGCACGCTATCAGCGCGGTACCGTAGATATTTCCCACATTGAGTGGTAGTGACTCAGTCTTCGCTCCCGGCCATTGAATATGGCATGTAACGTCTTTGACTTGTGAGTGCCTGATTGCATATAAACCTCAGAGCTGATATCTGGTAGAGTAACCGCTTGGTAGAGCCATGCCTTCCCCGCGGCTCTCCGACGAGTCATTGTACGTGCCAGCCTGCGTTGCCGCTCTATCTCTACTCGTATCTGCCACGCATTTCGCCATCCGTCGAACACGCAAAGAGCTTGGTGATCTATTTCATCTTCCCAGCCATGGAGTTTCGCACGACGACAGGCGAGGTGGCTCGTCGTCGTTGGAAGATTATGTCGCGAGCACTGGTGGGCCAGCGGCTGCAGCCCTCAGCGCATTGCGCATTTCCTGTTGTCTCGTCCTACTAGGTCTATCTATCTACAGCGCAACGCTCTCATTGTACACGTTCTGGGCTGCGCTCAGCCTCTGCGTCGCATACGTGAGTTCCTCACCAATGATCATCGACTCTGACGATGCTGAGCATGTTCCAGACGTACACAGCTATTCTCGGCCTGCTATCTCTCAAGACTCTGTCGTGGACTGCAGTTGCGTCGGGCCATTCCACTTTCGTCCTGCTGGCGACATGGTCCGTATATGTCTATCGGGACGTCTGGCCGCTCGCAACATATTATCTAGCGCCAGCAGATCAGCAGAGCGTCCTTTTCTGGCTCAATTTTGCGGTATTGACCATTGCGGCGGTTGTCGTACCTCTTACCACCCCTCGAAAATACGTGCCATACAATCCGCAGGTTCGTCTTCTTCAAACAGGTTCATGGCTCACAGCTGATGGTCAGCATAGGATCCAATGCCGAGTCCGAATCCGGAACAGACGTGCTCGATCCTATCTATGACGCTGTTTACCTTCTTGGACCCAATCATATGGGATGGGTACCGGTCGCCGCACCTCAGTGTCGAACAGTTGCCACCGTTGTGCGATTACGAGCTAATGAAGTACATGTCAAAAAGAAACTTTCCTGTAGGTTCTCGCTTTGGTAAGCCTCCGACCCTGCTGAAGCAGGACTAGTATCTTGATCCTCTGGATCCTCAGTCTAGCCGACATATCTTCTGGGGATTGATGAGGCTATATAGTTAAGTCCGTCTATTTCGTCCACTATGACATGTACTCATAATATACAGAATGGGATTATCTCGAACTCTGGGTCTTGTTAAGCTTGCTTGTAAGCGATCGTGCGCCTACCAGTTCTTTTTTGCAGCGCGTTAACATGATGATGCAGGCATCTGCAGGTATTCTCACTCCGATCGCAGTAAACAGGATTTTGCAGTGCGTCTCGTTTCTCATTGTTATTGCGTCCCAGTTCAAACTTCGGTGTAGTTATTTAGAGACCGGTGGCGAAAACGCCAGGACCCGTCCATGGTTCTGGATATTGGCGTATTTCGCAAGTCTCGTCTCGCCCGGTGTTATCTCTGGACGTTACATGTTCGTTGTGGTATGTCAGGCGAATCGGACAGCACTTTCGTGGAGCATACGTGCTGATATGACCTGCATTCTCCTCTAGCTACGAGTACTAGTGCAAATGCAGAATACGCTCACGCAACTCCTCTTCGAACATGCGCTGCGCATTAGGCCGAAGGCGGATATCGTCACTTCCTCTGATCTGAAAGGAGGTAATAAGAGCAGCCCTACTACCCCGACAGATGCGGCATTCCTATCCAGGGACGAGGCAATGTTAGGCGAGGAGCAGGGCTCGTCATCAGAAAGCAGCACGGCAGCCCCGTTCAGGAGCAGCAACGAGAAGGCTGCTGCCATGGGCCGCGAGAATAGTCATATGATTGGCAAGATCAATAATATGATCTCGACAGATATCAACAACCTCGAGGGTGGGCAGGGTTTTATCATGGTTGGTGCGTAATGAATGCTTGATATTGAGGCTAGCCCTAATCCCGCGCGTAGCATGGTCTACGCCGCTCCATATTACTCTAAATCTAGTGTTCCTGTACACAGTCCTGGGTTGGAGGTACGCCTAGTGTTCTCTGTAGTCTTTAACTCGCTCAAATGTGAGCAGCGCACTAGTCGGAGTAGGCACCACCATCGTCATGTTATGTATTCCCGGCATCATATCGAAATATTCTCACAAGCTTCAAGTCAAGAGAATGGCGAAGGTATGATATTGCCCATAGTTCCACTCCGAAGTCGAATTAAGCGCCCTCGTATCCAGAGTGATGTTCGAGTAGGCGTTATATCTGAAGGTACGGACGCCACCAACAGCTAAATCGTCCACAGCGCTCAAAATCAGGCCTTTAGTCATAGGAAGCGCCATCCGGACGGTGAAGCTCTTCGGATGGGAAAGACGGATCAGCGACCGCATAGACAAGAAGCGGAAGGAAGAGTTGCATGCGCTTAAAAACTTCAGAATTCTTTCGCTTGTGAACAATATCAGCAAGTGAGTAGGTTTCGTCCATGCGACAGCACCGTAGATTGACACATAGGTTCAGCAATTTTATCCCCTTGGTGACAATGATTGCCACGTTCGCAACTTATGTACGTCTATCAACTGTTCGTATACTTGCGCAAGCTTATCGCTATACGCAGACTCTAGTTGTGAAGGGTGAGCTGACAGGTATGGCCGCTCACGTAATTCGTAGCTTCACCCTTGTCGCTCAAGTATATGTGCAGCTTCGAAGGTCTTCTCGTCTATGGCGGTGTTTCAAACCTTACAAGATCACTTCAGAGGGTGTACCTGGTTTATCCCCGTGTGCATTCAAGGTTCGTGCTTTTGTTCACGTACATCGTCATTTGTGTATCAAATAAATGGCCTCTTCAGCAAAGGTGGGTTTGGACAGGATTACGGACTTCCTCCGGGAGGTATTTAATACCTTCGTTCTTCTGATACTGAGTCGACTCATCAGTCTCACCATCCAGACCGAGCTGTTGGATTACTATGCCAGGTCTACGCAAGAACAAGCTGTCACCCCAGGCCTTCCCGACTCTAGCGTCGTTGGTATCCGCGAAGCTTCTTTCGTTTGGGACGCCAAGCAGGTAGCAAGTGCCATGCCTGGATCTTCACGGCGCAGCTTCAAGCTGTGCATCGAGAACGAACTTGTGTTCAAACGCGGGCACATCAACTTGATTGTCGGACCTACCGGATGTGGAAAAACATCCCTGCTCATGGCATTGCTTGGTAAATCCATCTACTTTTCTGGAGCTCGAGCCTGCTGAACTAGCCCGTAGGCGAAATGCATTACCTTCCGATTGGACCCGACTCCTACGTCAACCTTCCCCGGGCAGGTGGAGTCGCGTATCACGCACAGGAGTCTTGGGTCCTGAATGAAACTATTCGAGTGAGTAGCACTGGCCGAATACGTGTTACCTCTATTGGTAAGCTTGCCCACAGAACAACATTCTATTCGGGTCTCCCCTCGAGCAAGACCGATACGACAAAGGTATGGCAGCTGCGGCTCTATCGTCACCTATGAGACATAATTCTCTATCCATCTAGTTCTTCGGCAGTGCGCATTGGAGCGAGACTTGTCTCTATTTGATGCGGGGGATCAAACAGAAGTTGGCGAAAGAGGAGTAACTCTCAGGTACGTTGCAGGCAACATATCCTATTTTAGCTGAGGTCAACATGCTATCTCAGCGGTGGTCAGAAAGTAAGTTTTCTAGCTGCTGATAGAGAAATATGCAGTCTCAACGTCACTAACCAGGCCCGCATAACACTTGCTCGAGCGATCTATTCAAGAGCAGAGACTCTGCTTTTGGATGATGTGGGTTCGCCGAATATTCTGAGATAGATTGCTGACACAAGTATGTAGGTCTTCGCGGCACTAGACGTCCATACCTCCCAGTCAATTATCGAAGGGTGCTTCCAAGGAGATCTAGTACGAGGACGTACTGTTATCTTGGTTGTGAGTTACATCGCACCTTCCACCACGTCTGTATTGAAATAACCATGGTCTACAGACCCACAACGTCGCGATAGCGGCCCCTATCACCGATTTCGCTGTCTCACTTGGTACAGACGGACGCATCAAGAGTCAGGGCACGCTTTCGAGTGTGCTCGAGAAGGATGCGAAGCTGTCAGCCCACATCACTAAAGAGACGTCTTGGATGAAGAGAACCGACGAAAACACAGACAATTTCAAACTCGACACGGGGGAGCAAAAGCCTGCGGGCAGGCTGACTACAGCCGAGGAGATAGCCGAAGGACATGTCGGCTGGTCAGCCAGTAAGTGCTCCTTCGCACTGCGTCCTATATATTTTAGTTACTTAGCGATGAAATAGTGAAGCTGCTACTTCTGAACACTGCCAAAGGCCCGATGCTTGTCGTATTCTGGCTGGTGTTTCTCAGTGCCATGTTGGCTAGCCGCTCGGCAGCCATTTTGGATTCGTGGGTACTCGGCTTGTGGGCGAGACAATATGAGATTCACGACCCGTCCCAAGTTTCCGTGACTTAGTGAGTCTGCCACTTTTCCGAGGAACTCTGATGTTGACTCGTCTTTTCAAGCTATTTGTCTCTCTACATCGGAGTCATCACATTTTCCGCTATATTTCTGGCATGCGGTTACACTATATATATGTACGGCACCCTACGAGCCTCTCGAATAATCCACCGGACCTTGGTGGATACCATACTCCATGCAACGCTTAGGTCAGTCCTGCGGTGCCAACGGCGACTATTGCTCACCAGTTGCCTCTAGATGGCTTGACAACACTCCATCCTCTCGCATTATTTCTCGTTGCACACAAGACATCGCCTCCGGTAAAGTTTCATCGCCTCTTTGCCAATGCGTTGATCTAACTCCGCGTAACCAGTCGATAGCCAGGTCGCAGATGGTTTCTATTTCGTGGCAGACGTTGCTTGCGACGTGATGCTCAAATTCTGCGTCATCTGTCTAGTGTCTCCGGCCGTCGCTGGACCAGGTGCTCTGCTTGTCTTGATAGGCACCGCACTGTCCAGGGTCTACATGAAATCACAGCTGTCTGTCAAGCGGGAAATGAGTAATGCCAAGGCGCCTGTTATGGGCCATGTTGGTGCTGCGATTACCGGCCTTGGTGAGTAACGCTTATGTAACCGCTGGATGTGCGTTGTGGTTTACACTCGCCCTGTAGTGTCTATCCGCGCATATGGCGCTCAAGAGGCCTTTCGACAAGAGTCTTACCGCAGACTGGATCGACTCACTGTCGCGGCAAGGGTGTATAGAAACTTGAATAGATGGATATCTATTCGCGGAGAAATGCTAGCGGGCCTCTTTTCGGCTTCCCTCGCCACGTACATGGTGTATGGACCTAGCCGAGATGCGTCTGACACCGGTTTCTCCTTGACAATGGCGGGTGCGTGGCACGCGCGGTACGCTATCTGTGACCGTGCTAACGTCGAAACCCTCTGCTTAGTTGGGTTCAGTAGTATGATACTCTTTTTCATCAGCGTCTTGAACGACTTCCAGGTCGAAGGTACGTCGGTCGTCCAATCTGTATGAGCTCGTGCCCATAGCAATCCCTATAGGCAACAGGTTCGCTCAATCAATACCCCCAATCGGCTCGTCCTGTAACTGAATATGGCCATTCAGTCTGGAACGAATTCAACAGTACCTAACCATCGAGCAGGAACCTACGCCTACTGATTCTGGCCTCCCTCCAGCGTTCTGGCCGGTAAGTGGTACCCTGAGAGTAGAGAATTTGTCCGCTCGGTACTCCGAGGTATACTTTGGCAATCAGATACCCAGAATATTCACTCATGTCAATCCTCAGGATGGCCCAAAGGTTTTGCACGACATCTCGTTCGATATCAAGTCTGGAGAGCGAGTCGGGATAGGTATGTCCTACTTTCTCTTCTTTCTCTTCTGCTCAACAAGCCACATTCGCAGTCGGGCGGACTGGAAGTGGCAAGGTTAGCAAGGCATAATTCTGCACCTTTGATATTGTATGTTCATAGAAGCTGCAGAGCTCATTGGCTATGGCGCTGCTTCGCTGCATTCCCACGGACGGTAAAGTTTACTTCGATGGCATACCTACCGACTCGGTCAACCTCGACGCGCTTCGCACAAGTATCACTATCATCTCGCAGGTGGTAAGTTATGTTTATCGCCCGATCTCCCTCTCTCTATCTCTGCCTCATATATTATTTACCAGCCCGAACTTCTGGCCGGCAGTCTTCGCGAAAATTTAGATCCATTCTCGCAACACGGCGACGCGACGCTGAATGAAGCTCTTCGTTCGGCCGGACTCTTGTCCCTGCAAGGAGATCCAAACGAGAGCAATCTAACGCTGGACAGTGTCCTCTCGGGTGGCGGAAGCAACCTTTCTGTCGGACAGCGCCAGATCATCGCACTCGCTCGCGCAACGGTGCGGCAGAGTAAGTTGCTTATTCTAGACGAGGCGACATCTGCCGTCGGTGCGTTAGTTGGCTTTCGACATGAGCTGGCTTCATATCTACGATTAGATTACGACACAGACGTTGTTATCCAGGAGTCGTTAAGGAAAGGCGTCGCCAAAGACGTTACGCTGCTTACCATTGCGCACCGCCTTCAGACTATCATGGACTCAGACAAGATTGTGCGTCTCCGTCTCTCGTCGTTCAATATCCGCTCTGACTCAAACGTCCTTAGATGGTTCTGGACGCTGGTCATGTTGTGAGTCTTTGTACTTTCGGGAACGGCCTCTTCTCATACTCTGTGTAGGTCGAATTTGGCCCTCCCACTGAACTGCTTCAAGATCCTGGTGGCTTCTTCAAGTCACTGGTAGACGCCTCAAGAGACAGAGAGAAGCTCTATGCCATGGTGGCCAATGATGCGTAGACAGACAACTCTTTCTGAATACGTCAGAAAACATCAAATAAATTTGTCTGCAGACTCATCTTGGGCTTGGAAACGAGATCCAGTATCCCGGCCCGCTTCACTTTTGGCGAAAGCAGCACGGCACAGAATGGGTGAAGTTTGTGGAAACGAGGCCATCCTCGCTGACGGTGGAGGTACTAGCCCTGTACCGCTAATTCAACATCGATGTCGTCACGAGAGACATACACGCGTAGGGAAGAGAGTAGGTGCGATACCTGAGGCCTGAAGGTGCGCTCGCGCCGGAGCTTACGAACTTGCGAACAGGTAAAGGAGCATTCCCTGCATTGGGATGAGTCTCTACTCTACATTGGCCAACATTCCGAACTGTGCTTATCCAATATAATGTCGGATATGTCAGGTGCCATAAGTACCTCGTTGATGTGATAACATGCATGCTGCTGCTTCAAGTTGTTTCGCACGCATCGACGGCTATCTCACAGAGATGCGTATATGTCTGTGGTTACCGCGTAAGAAGAACGCAGAAAGTCAATCGAGAGCATTTACCAGGTTTTCCAAAAATCAAAGGACTTGAAAAGCGCGAATTCTCAGCCTGAAATCTCGCGGAGGGCGAGCAGAACGGCCGTTATTATTAGGAGCTGATGCGATCATGTGACCGGAAGCGCGAGCGCGCCGTTCGAAGGTTGGTTTGTGCTTGTTCTCGACGTTTCCGACGTTCTTGACCACGTTTACGTTTTTACGACGCGAAGTGCTCGAGGCACTCGACGATGGATTCCTTCATCCCCCAGGAAAATGTTCTTTCCCTTTTCGACCCGCTTGTGAGGCCTGAAACTCCCCCACGGAACACCAGCTCCCCCGAGCCTGCTTCAGACAAGGAAAACGATGTACAGCCGGGACCGGTAACCGTCTTTTTCAGCAGGATATACAAAGATATACCCGTGCAGAAGATTTCAAAGAATCCGAAGGGGAAGCTCATCGACTTTGGGGAGCGCACCCCGGTGCCGCCGAGGCAAGAAGACATGCTTGGTGATGAGGGCTTTGACTGTTTCGCGGAGGATGAGGAGGAGGTACCAGACTCGCCAGGCGTGAGTAGGAGACCTCTGGCAGACATAGACCTCGAGCAGATACCCCAAACTCTACGTCGACCGTCGATTATCCCGGAAGACCTAGAAGATGTCCAGTCCGTGTACGATCCTGTCTCGAGCGCGCCCGCGGGCACACCCTTTACGGACGTTGTCAACTCTATTAATCTCTCTGCGATGACTCTTACAGACTTTCAGGATCCTCCAGTCGCGTCGAGCGCGTTCATATGCCCGAATATCGCGGTCTGCTCTCCAGAACCAGCGGTGATCGCAGAGTCGACTCCAGCGAGGCTCGAGTCAAGGGCCGACACGAGCTGTGGCTCCTCCTTCGTTCTCCTCTCTCCAACCGCGCATACATCCACATCCACCGACTTGCCGCCCTGCGGAACCCGGCGGACGCAAACCTCGAATCTCACCTCATCGGCCGACCCGCGGCGCATCTCTGTCGACCTCCAGTCGACTTTCAGCCTGCACATGCAGAGCGCAGACATGTCCTTTGACCTCATTAACGACAAGATCTCGTTCCTGAACGCGTCGAACTCCAGCTGGACAATCGTCGACGCCGACCGGGACGATGACACGTTCGAACTCACGAAACAGAGATTACACATTAGCGGAACAGGAGCGCGGCACATGGAGATGCCGGATGCCAACTTGGACGAGGACACGCTGGATCTTGCGAAGGAGCAGAAGCGAATTGAGGTTCTGCAGAAGTGCGAGCCCATACGCGAAGAGAGTTTGGATGAGATTGTCGTTGTGGTTCCGAGAGTGAAAGAGCTCAGTATGTCGTGGTTTCCCCATATCTGCGCGCATATAATGACCAGTTGTGCCTAGCCCCACCGAAGCCTACGCCCTCTATTGGGCACACTCTCGAAAGTGCAGCCAAAGCACCGGCCAGACCGCCGGTCTTCAGCTTGCCTCCTGCTACCTCGACAAAAGTGGAGCCAAGGTCTGAGCATAAGCCAGCCGAATTGACGAAGCCCCTCCCTACGCCTCATCTGACGAAGAAGACCTGGACAACACAACACGAGCGCGTCTCCTCCTCCACCAGCACCACCAGCACTTTAAGTTCCAGTGCCGGCTCCTCCACCATTGCTAGCTCCCGCCGGTCCTCAATATCGAGCTCCCTTCCCACATTAAGCTCAAGTTCGGTCTTTGACGTGTCGCGTTCTGCCAGTACCACCGTCGCAAAGACACCCGCACGTCGGTTGTCCAGTGTTTCCACTACCTCCTCAATAACTGGCGCCCCTAAGGCTGCAGCGCGAGGGTTCCAAAGACCTCTACCGGCCCCTCTTCCCGCACTTTCTGCTTTTGCAAGGCCGAATGGTGCTGCCAGGGCGCCATCTCCCACAAAGCCTGGTCCTGTGCCCAAGAGTGCGCCCGTGTCGGAGCCACTCGCACCGCCCAGGCCTTCGGCGGGTGTGAAGCCGACGTTTACTGCATCCGTGAACCGACTCCAGCGCCCAGCTCCTACCGGCCTAACGGCGTGGCGCGGCAGCGTCAGGGCGACGGTGAAGCCTGTGGTACCGGGTTTGAGGCATCCTGTGCCCTCTCTGGCGAGTACTGGTCCGTCCGCCGTCGTGGCGAATTCTGGTCTGGGTGCCATAAAGAGCGGTCTACCAAGGCCCGCATCACGGTTGCCTGCCCCAACCAAAAGCACTTTTGGTGGCGCGAGGAGGTTGTGACATCCACATACCGTCCACGTCGGAGTACCGTAAGGTAAGTCGCTCTTGGGCGTTGTATCTCTACCGACCATCACTGTATGCTATGCCACGCGCTCCACTTTTGTCCTGTTTCCACGTTCTCGTTTCACCGCTTTCTCTCCTCTGTAACTCTCCGTGTATACTCTCCGTGTTTGCAGTCTTTCCACCGTGTTACTTATATGTTATTGACCCTGTTGTCGGAATATATGCGTTAGGACTGGTCTTCTCTATGGACAATCTTATGTTATTTGATCCGGCCTAAAAGTGACGCCCACATTCACGCAGGACATAAACTCGACTAACGCTATGCTAGATTCCCGCTACAATTAATACTAATCTACCTTAACTTCTAAATACCTTAGGCAGTTTCATGCGGATGTGCGACAAATTTGAACGCACTGACACCACTCCGGAGCTTCTCTAGACCCTCGGGGATGCCTGCGAGGCCGTTGTGCAGTACTTCGACGTTGTTTGGCTTTGCGAGAAACAATGAGCATTGAGCGACGGCAGCATACAAATGACACTCGTTACCTTAATGTCGCCGGTCTCGAGCAGGCTTGTCAAATTGGCGTACAATTTCCTGCCGACCTCGCGCTGCTCTGGCGGATGGACGCTGCCAAACACATGGACGACCTCCTTGTCGGGCGTGAGCCTGTCCTTGTCAAGGGCGTTGAATAAAACGTGCACAAGCTTCCCGCCCGACGCCAGGATGTCGTATGCGGCGTTCTGCGTCTCTGGGTACGAGATCGCGTCATAAGCAACCTTGACGGGCTTCTCTGTAATCGCCTTGATCGTGTCAGACAGCTCGGACAGCGGCGCGTTGCGGTCGATAATGTGCGTCGCGCCGAGCGACTTGAGAAGCACCTCATTGTGCAATGAGCCCGTTGTGATGATGGGCGAAAAGCCCGAGAGCTTCGCGAATTGGATCACTGCGCATGATTAGCTTGGTGCGGCGGTCATTCAAAAAGGAGAGCGTACATACCCAGCTGGCCGACTGCAGAGGCACCGCCAATTATCAGGATAGGCTCACCAGCGTACTTGCCGCGGCCACTCTCCTCCCAGGGCGCAGTGAGAGCAATGCCACCTGCCCCCTTGCGGTTATACAAACCGAGAGCCGCAGTCGCGAGTCCGATCGGGAGGGTGGAAGCCTGATCCAAAGTTACGTTCGGCGGGACCTTAGACATGCAATTGAGCAGCCGAAGCGCACCCTGATCCAGTGTCCGAGGTGACATACCTGGGCAATAATGTCTGCTGGAACGACGGCGTACTGCTGAAACGCGGCGCGGCGTTCATCGTAAAAGCCTTGGTAGACCCTGTAAAGTTGTTAGCACTTCGTGGTGGCGCGTTTCGCTATTGACGTACACCTTGTCACCGACACCGACATTGATCACCCCACTGCCGACCTTCTTGACAACGCCTGCTGCGTCGAGGCCAAGTATGGCAGGGTAATGCTTGACGATGATATTATTTGTCTGGATTTTCCAGTCGACGGGGTTCAACGCAGCCGCGTGAATCTCGACAAGAACCTCGTCAGTGTCGGGCTCCGGTATATCCTTCGTCTTGATCGCAAGCTGACCCTTAGCCTCAAGGAGGTAGAGAGCCTTCTGAGTGGACATAGTAAGTATGGCGGCCAGAGAAAAATAAGAATGCTGGTCGCATTGAACCAATCTTCTGCCTATATATATGAAACAAACGAAAAGCGCAAGAGCTACGGTTTCCCGTGGCCGTGCATGACTAAGAAGCGGGAATATACGCCGAGGAAGAGCAACGTAGCCCCTCCGAGTAGTCTCCGCCCACGGGCTCCTAAGTTGAAAAGCTGATCAGTAAGGCAGGTCACGACTTCCCACTGCACTAACGTCATTCTGAGCGGCCAGACAAGACTGAGTTCGACTTATGCAATTTTGCCCAAGCAAAGTCAGCACAGTCTAACGAACAATGGACGCACTAAAGACACTATCATGTTACAATGCTGACCGTGACCGTCGCTGGGGCTGAGCTTATATAAGTCACCGCTTACGCTGTGAGCAATGTACTGAATAAGCGCGCATCCCATACCTTGTTGCTAGCCTGCGGAGGGTTGTAGTGCAGCTGCGTGGGCTCCATGAGAATTTCATCGAAACCTGGTTCCTGAATGGCCTTCTCCTTGATTGCGAGCTCGCCTTCGAACTCGAGGTAGAGAGCCTTCCGCGTGGATATGCTGGAACCAATACTTGGTGTAGGGGGGCGAGTGGGCTGCTGTCGTTGTTAAATGTCGGCGGCAACGTCCAAATAAAAACGAACATCGCAACATCCGCCACTCCACAGGCTTACGTGGCTGAGGAACGCGTATAACCTGCTGTACTACAGCGCTTCATTAGGATTCCTGTGGTATTGCTGCTACGACCATGAAGCTGTCTACACTCGCCGAAACTCAATTAATCAGGCGAACTGTGAACTGGCGTTAGACATTATTGAGAGCGTACCGCGCGAGACGGAGCGTCCACGTCCTCAGATACCGTTGAATGCAAGGATAGCATACTCTGTCAGCACATAACTCTCCCGGCACCGCGAGCGACAAGCGGCGGGCAAGGGCAACGACCGTTTCGCCGATCCCCGGCACTGTTGAGTGGTACCATTTTGCCGAAGCAGCACGGTTCCGAGATGCTTTAGACCAGGCACGTCGTTATCAAGAATACACGAGAACGTTAGGCATTGACGACTGTAGGACTACTAGGAGTGCAGGTCGCACAGTTCGAAAGCCGGCGGGGGATACTACGTAAGCGCCATCATAGGGTTAGGGTTGCTACATAGCGGCCGTAGATTCCCAGCTGCACCTTTTTCGTAACGATCTACAAGCAGGTGGAAGGTCTGAAAATTGTACTCTTCGTGCTTCCGTATGCTTAGCTGTGCCGCTCTTTGAAAAACAGATGGATCCTGTACCGTCCAAAGCCGGAATAAAGACTATAGTGGATAGGCATGTCAGCTTAATCAACGACATCCTCCCGTTAGAAGTATTCGACCTCGTCTTCGATACCCTTCGAGGGGCTGACAATAAAAAGGAAAGCTTATTCTCTGCCTCACTGGTTTGCCGACTCTGGAGGGAGTACACTCTTAGGCACCGCTTCTATTCTATTTCGCTTGACATGTCCGCGAACCAAGAGCTCAAACCACTGCGGCGCACCTCTGCTTATTATTTGACTCAAGACTTTACAAAATCGAAAATATTTCCCCTGGTGCAGAGTTTCGTGCAGGTTCTCGCTCTATCCTGGGGCTCAGAGGGCGTCTCTCTCGACTTCACGCGTATTATTCGGCTCTTTCCCGCTGTTCGCACCATGAAGCTAGAAGGCGCGCTCTGGCCAAAGCAATGTCTTCGAGAGAAATTCGCTCAACCGCTTTTCATTGACAGACTGACAATCCTCGGCACACTTCCCCCCTATCGACGGCACCTAAAGCTCCCGCACGAGGTACACGCTCTCTGCACTGTGCTGTCGCAGTTTTCGTTCATTCGGCACCTCTTCCTCGTGGACATATACAACATGCGCTCCGATGAGGAGTTGATATGGTCCAACTACGCTCTTCCCCCAATCTCATCCCTCACTCTGATGCAAACACCAGGTGAAGGCCCGATTTCGGAGGTCATCAAGAGGCTGGCCAAGCCTGGGCTTCTGAAACACCTCGACCTCACCACGTTTTCTGGAGACGAGCTTGACGAGGCCCTGCTGATGGCAAAAGGATTGTCGACGCCGATCGAGGAAATAGGCCTTTCCGTCACCTGTTGGGGCGCAGGAGATGGGGATGGAGGTAAGTTCCTAAAGCACATCCTGTTATCGCCCTTCTCATCTGTCTCCGTAGCTGATGCGCGCCCAAACCTCTTCGGCTTGCGCAGCCTTAAGCAGCTGACAATTGCTATTGAGCTGGAAATAGCGAGCGTAGGAGAATACGCACTAGACGACAGGAAGCAGTGGCTTAACTCCGTTTCGTGGACTCGAGCCACCAAGGCTCTTCGCTCTCTGGACCCATCGTGCTGTCTCGAACATATCGACCTCTGGCTCGCATCGTCAGAGTTGGAGGTGGCCGAAGTATTCTTGCCCCGCATGCAAGTCGCCCTGGGTCACCGATGTGGCAGCCGCGTCGATTTTGAGACTGCTATGCTCGAACTGGTCGAACAAGGACGACTTAGGACCGTACGTATGTCTCTGCACTGCACGCCGCCAACAGACGACGGGCTTGTTCCCGAGTTTTATGTGCCTTCGGGCGATTATCTCAGAGATGTGTTCGCGCACCTGGACATGACAGGGGCGCTACTCGTTTAAGATCGGCTGATAGTGGTAAGTCTCCAGAAAAACCGCAGCGTTTAGGTGGCTACTGACTGCGTAGTTTTACAAGCATGTGCTGCCCCACATCCTGCGGGGCATGCTGCCTGAGGGGGCCTTCAAGCTGACGTTACTATATATTTCTTGTTATTCGACGTCCGGGTTTCGCAGATTGCCCAATTTAAAGTCGCACCTCGTCAACGTAATCATCCTCAACTTTCCTTGTAGTGAGAAAAGAAGAGAGCACAAAGCCATCGTAAGCAAGCCATGAGCTGAGTGAATCACACGACTCGAATAAGAGTCATGCACGCGGTTTGGCATATAAATAACAGACTTAGGAACAAACAGAAGGGAAGCATGGCTCGCCGCCACTTTGCATATAGTAATAAAGAACACAGCATTCTGATATATAGTCCGGGAAAAGAACTTGCTTTTCTTCATCCCTCGGGGAATCCGCGAATGCAGATATTTAGTCGTTGGAAGGGAGGTCCCTTGGCGCACTGCTGATGCTGCCGCCTCTACAGGCAAGCTATTTCAATGTACAGCCCGCCCTAAACAAACCTGTTCCTCCGTGCGTACCTGATATACGAAGACTTGAACGTTAACATCGCACCGGCCAAACTGCGCGATGCTGGCTGCCCCGCCCAGGCTCAGCGCACGCTTGGCATGATGAGTACACGTTTATTCCTCGGCTACACACACGCTCGCCGCCCTGTATCTCATAGAAGCTCTTGTATGTAACTCGAACCAAATAAATATTGCAGGCATCTGGTGTCTACGACAGTCTAGGCTACAATGGGATGAATAGCTTTTTCGATGATGACGAGAACGTTACAAGAGTATATTAGCACGGACGGGGGCTCGTCGCGGCCGACGGGCCCGTATATGCGTGCAAGGAGGGAGGGAGAGGAGGAACCCTTCGCGACAACAGCCCAAAGCAAGAAGCATATAAAAGATACGGAGAAAGCAGAGAGGAGACATGTAAAAACTATGGTACTATAAGCACAAGAAACGCCAGGGTAGCGTCCGGATGAGATACGATAGGAGCATACGAAGAAATATCCCGTCCTAGAGCCAGGCATACATTAAGGGTTGTAGATGAGACCGAGTACGTCATGATAGTTTGCCGTTGTAGGCGCACAACCCGTGCCAGACGTCGTCGGCGCACCGATCGTGGTGTCGGAGCGGGAGGTTGTCACATGATTATGCTACCGCTCCAGTTGGCGTCGGGATCGGGCTTGAGCGAGGAGGACGAGGTAGAGTCACCCGGTTCCGTAACCTCATCGCCGTTAGGCCACATCTCCTTCTGAATACTACGACACTCGGCGCCTCCTTCAGAGCGCACTGTCAGAGATAGCGTCAGCGTCGAGGACGTGAGGACGGAAGGCCATGAGACTACTTACAGTGACGATTGAGCGCATCCATCCGAGCAAAGTTCTTCTTGCATCCCTCGCAGGAGTACGGACGGATATTGAGATGGAGCTGCTCGTGCCGCTTGCAGTCGTGCTGTCGCGCGAAGCATTTGCCACGGCCCGGCTAATTGCACTGGTACGGCTTCTCCTCGGCGTGCGAGCGCAGGTGACCCCTTGAGGTTAAAGTGACGGGTGAAAGTGCTGCCGCACCCCGGAACATGGCACACGAAGTTCGCGGGCTGCTTCCTGCGCTTCTGGCTCGCGTCTGCCGTACTCGGCGTCGTCACCTTCACCTTCGTGACCGTCATGGCCTCCGTGCCAACGTCGACCTGCATGTTCATGTCGGCGCCGTCCATCAGATCACTGAGAGGCATGACCAAGTCAGCACTCACCGAGTCACGCTGCGTCGGGATGCTCATGCTCAGCTCAGGCTCGCTGGGGAGCGGATGGTAGCCCGACCGTGGGCTGGCGCTAGGGCTCGAGTACGGGCTGGCACGACAGCTGCCGACGCCGCTGTTCCATCCCAACGGCCGTTCGCGAGAGCCAGACGACGAGCGCCGGTGGTGACCCTGGCGTATGGATGGGATGATGGTCTGAGTAGGGTGGAGGTACTGCTGTTGGTTAGCGTTGTGAATGAACTCCCGAGCAGACTGCCCCACAGGAGGATACAGCGTCGCGGACGAAAGAGACGGCGAGAGTGTATGCCGCAGATCCTCGGAGCGCACTTGACGGTGCCCAAAGCAGCCGCCGCTACGCATGCCATCGGACTTCGTCCGCCGAAGGTCTGTGGCGCCAATGTCGGCGGACAAGAATCCGCTGAATGCGTATGACGGATTGGTGTTCGGTGGACCGAAGGAGTTGTGTTGTAGTCGGCCAGGTGGTGTGAGGGTCTGGCCAAAGGATGTCTGGTGAAGACCCGCGGATGAAGGCAGCCGCTGGGTTCCCATCATTGGCGACGGCGATGGCGAGGTCGACCCCGGACCCGTGAACACATCGTTCATATTGACGGCGTTGTTCGGCATGAGCGCGGTATCGCAGATTGGAGGGCGGAAAGAAGTGTCGGAGAGGCTTCTGCTGCGAGCAAGGGGTACCTGAGGGACAAGGAAGCCCTTTGCTGTGGCGAGATCGTACGGGCGGTGATGATGAGTCTTGAGCATGGACGCATAGGATATTCCCGGTGACGAGTGATTCGATTCGGCATAGAAATACCGAGACTGATCGGTGTGCTGAGAGGCAGACGCTATGGATTGATTGGCCGTCTGGAGATTAGGAGATTAAGTTGTTGTGGCCGATCCCAGCTTTGCTGGTTGGTCTCCTGCGTGTTTCCTGATACAACAAGAGGGATCAGCGGTAGGCTAGGGGTTACGTTCGCGCTAAGCCTGCGACCATTTCCGCAGCGTCGAAGAGACGGAAGGAAACGTGGCAAGAGCGAAGCAGAAGACCATAAGTAAATAGCACACACCTTGCTGAAGCATTGGGACGCTCTGTGTAACTCCGTCACCACTACTGATCGGCATCGTAGGGACGATATGCAGCTGAGGACCAGTCTGCATACTGTCGTCCGAAGCGTTGATCGTCGGCGGCTCATCGCGAACGGCAGTCGCTGGACTCAAGGCAACCGGAATGACGAACTGGGGAAGAGATCCCGTTTTTTTCTGCCGTTGCGCTGGTGACGAATGCCCGTCTGGGGGCAGCCGAGAGGTCGACCAGCTCGGTGATTCGAAGCGCATACTCTCAAAGTTCTGCGTGAGAGAATTGGGAGGCGGCGAGTTCGGAGGTATGTCAGACGAGGGCGACAAAGCTCGAGAGCGGTCGTCACATGCGCCATTACTCGACGCAGTGAAGGTGTGATCGTAAGCGGAGGGCGACGGGGCGTTATCGTAGGGAGGTGGCATGATTGATATAGGGGCTTGCGAATTTGCAGAGCCTATTACGGACATGTAATGTTCGTTAAAAGCAATGGGTCCGGAGCCATTCGGTACGTTGCATTCGGCTGGGTCGCACTCTTCCGTTATTGAGATGTCAGATGGGTTCTCATCGAACGACGCCAGGGGGTCGAGACCGCCGACGATGTCACGGTTAGACAAGTCTGAGAGCACGTTGAAGGACGGTTCCGCGGTCTCGTTCACAATGCATCCAACTACTAATGAGTCAGAACCTTTCGATTTACCTACGGGTGCATGGTCTTACCGCCATGAGCATCAACCACAATTTGTGGATGCAGGCTCATAAGCGCAGTCATTATACTGCCAGGCGAATCTTCTAAGTTGATTAAATATAATTTTACCAGGTGTTAGCTGTATACTCACCGTCACTATTAATTCCCAACAAACTCAAATCATCGTGGGTTACGATAGCAGAGGAAGCATCTGAGCACTGTAATCGAAGTCATTCAACTTTAGTCCATTCTTGTCATTGGCAGAAACACGAACCTCTAAGATGTAGTCCAAAAGGTCGTCTAGCGCGTCCCGAAGCTAACAGTTCGGTCGTAAATCTTCGCTGAGAGCACTTTCAGTTATAACCATTTCGTACCTTTCTTCCGGATGGCATCTCCTCCACGTCTATAACATAATCTTCACTTGTAGATCGTGACATTGCCAGAGTTGGGCTGCCCGTTACTAGAACACGAAGGTGAGCACCATCATGTCCGCGGATGACCGGGGTCAGCTGACCTCCAGGTGAACAACCATCTCCCGAGCCTTCGGAGGCATCCCCCTCTTTGGGCTCCGCTTCCGCTACGATCTTCATGGGAAGAAAACGACGGTACTTGACTTTGTAGTACCTCACGAACAGGCACTGGTCTCGCATGATTCCCAACGAATCCTCAGAAGTCCTAGCACTGTCTCGCTTCGGCCCACTCCTCTGGCTCACGGACATTACTGCCTCTGCCGAATGCTCGACCGCAAACTCTGCTGAAGCGATGCCCCCTTCAGCACCAAACGAAATCGCGTGCGACTTGCCGTGGTTTGCAACAGCCGCTACGGCCCACTCGGACGTCTTCAGTCAGCCGATGACCAGGACAACATCTTCCGGGGCGATCATGCGACCTTGATCAACCGCGAACGCGTGCCACGATGCGTGGTTCATTCGGACGTATTCGTGAAATCGTAGATTCGCTTGCACGTGAGATAAGGTGACGTCCGAACCGGGAACGAGGATCGCTCCCTCCTGGCTTTTGCATTCGAACTTGTACGACAGCGAAACCCCCTTGCTTCCCACAATATCAATAAAGAGTCGCAGGGATCGAAGGCAAACTTACGCTGTTGCCCCTGCTTCAGCTTTGAACTGGGAAATAGATTTGCTGTAGATCGGCTTCGGAGGCAGATAGTTCTCCCTGGTTTGCAGAAGAGCCCATTTGTCGTACTCAAGAGGAATATATCCATGCGGGACACGATTGGCGTTTACAGGGTCGTCCGCTGCGAGTGTGCAGTTGAAGAGCCGATAGAAGCATCCGTCCTCGACGAACCCAACGCCACCGATGAGGACCTCGCCATACTTTGAGGGCTCCGGCTGCCACAGAGGTTCTCCGTGATCGTGGTTTGGCAGCTGGGCTGCGTAGGCTAACGCGGCCTCCGAGTGGACATGCTGGTCAATGGTTGGGCCAGACGATGGATGGTTGTTCACCTTGATAAGCGCGGTTCAATTAGGTTTAAGGTTATCTCCGTAGTGAAGACTCCGATTTCCCTATGAGACTAGTACTCTGATAGGTAGTCAGCATGCCACCACCCGCGGAGGAGAGGAAGAAATATGATTCACCTTTTATAACTATGTGCTACCGCTGCAGCTGGAGGTAGCAAAGAACACAGCACCCGTAATCGTGACGGAGCAGCAGCAGCAACACTATCTCTGTGGCAAGCGCTCCTCACGCAGCGGCTGCCCTAAGTACTCTCTCCTCCCTTCCCAAACCATTCAACACTAGTCATTGACCGGGCCTCGTGCGCATTTGAGTCCAGCGGCCGCTGGAATAAAACTGCTCGTTGCTAAGTTTGTCGAGGAAAATCAGTGTCGTTTCGCTCGACGCGGCGCCGTCGACGCCTCGTAACACTGCGGGTTAGTCGCATCAGTAACAAGGGGCAAATGGCCCGCGGAGATGCTGGTACATGACCAAGTCGGGGTATCTTCAAGCTCAATCTCGTACTTCCTCTTCCGAAAGGTGTTCTTAGAGATTGCACTGCATGTGGTCAGTAAGTATCGCAGCAACTCGAGGGAGGGAGCGAATGTCTATCATTAGATTTTGATCAATCGAGCTGCGGAATAACTCTCAGAGCCATGCCGCCGGGGCACACCTTTATCTAGCATAGCCGTCGCGTATAACCTTGCAGCTAAACGCTAACTAAGCAAGGCTTAACGTGAGCTTAGGGTTGTCGTGTAGGGTCAGTGGGGGTCAGAAGTGACTGACCGTCACTCTCAAGGGCGGATGTCTTGTTTTGGAAGGGCGCGGTGATTGATGCTCTGCATCCAGCGTAACCCCTATGCTTGCAATTCTTTTCTCTTCTCAGCCTCTAATTTACATCTCCAACTGTTTCTGAGATATTCGAACCAAGAGTATAACTATGGCGTCCTCCAAAGCACTTGTGAACCTGCCTTTCGACGTTCACGACCACATCTTCGACGCCGTGGGGCGCAGCGATGTCTACTACACGTTTTGATTTCGTGCAACTCAGCCAAAAGCATGATCTCTTCGCAGCATCTAGAGTGTGTAAGGAATGGGCGGACATGACCCTCCGTGCTCGCTTCCACACGCTCTCGCTCGTCATCAAGCTCCCCGGCGAGCAATCGACCGCGAATTACTTCTTGCAAGACTTCGTCCAGGAGCCCGTCTTTACGCATCGGCAGTACGCCAAGAAGCTAACATTGCGCTGGGGATGTGGGAAGAATAGCAGGGTCGACTTCGCCAATGTGCTCCCGCGCTACTTGCCCATGTTCCCCGGGCTCCTCGTCCTCGAGCTTCGCGGCGTCCTATACAAGCGGCCTGAGCAGCCCATCATTCAGCGGTTCGGCCTCCAGTCGCTCATGATCGACGGAGAGTGGTACCAGTGGCGCCAGCACGAGAGTATGATCCGCGTGCGCTGTGTGACCTGCTCTTCCTGTTTCCCGAGCTTAAGGAACTTGAACTCATCAGGGTGGAGTGGGCTCCAAATGATAGCGACTACGTGGGACCTGGCGAAAACGGGATGACGAGGATGACGAGAGCGACGAGAGCGACGAGAATGGCGAAGTTTGGGACGGAGCAGAGGAGTACGACTCGCTTCAAGTTGATGACAGCGATGTCTACGACAGCCACGATGTCGACCCCAAGGGGCTACCCTGCATCAAGACCTTCGTTATCCGCATGTATGAGCCCCTACCAGTCTTCGTGTTGGTGCTCCGTATGTCGGACGTCAGGTACTTGGATGTTGCGGGTTTTATTGACGAGAGACAGCGAATAGTAAACACTTGCTCAGCGACAGTGGAGCATGTCAAGGATTATGTTCATTCTCCGAGATTTGAAGGTGCGTTATTCGGTCTGCTCCCGTCCCAAGGCCATACTGATAGCTGCTCGCCCCACAGCGGAGTCAGATGTATACCCGAACCTTAATTTTGCGAGCATACCTGCACTGCGCAGAATAACACTGGTCCTCGTGGTGTGTAGTAGGTCAGACAGAGAGCGGACAGGTTTCCTGTACGACGAGCCCTGGACCACGCTCGCCGCGGCCGTAGCGGTGCTGCGCAAGCGTCCCGACAACCCGCCTCCGCTCGAGTACATTGAGCTGGAGCTCCACATGTGGCCGTTCCCCATGGGATATGACGACCAGGCGCAGACGGCCGAGGCGCGACACATATTGGCACAGCATTCTCCATTCATAGGCCGCGCAGATGCGGAGCTGCGCAGCCTCGTAGACGATGGCCTTGTCGAGTCCGTCCGAGTTTGGACTGTGGTCCTGATGCCGTCGTACACCTTCCAGGCGCATAGCTGTTTGAACAATTGTCTTGCCGATGCGTTCCCTGCGCTGCATTCCAAGGGCCATCTTCGTCTCAGCGAGGGGTTTTGCGGGTGCATCAATCTGCCTGGACTGCTGGCTTCTCCCTGTGCCAGTGCATTGCCGAAAAAGATACAGTTGCCCCGATCTTCACAGAACGCAGCATGATAAAATCGTGTCTATACGATGCATAAATGAAAAAAAGAAAAACAATGTATCTCACTTTGAGCTGTATATAAATCGCTTACCTGATGGCGACGACTAAATGCGTTCGACTCGCGCGCGCCCCATGAGGCCATATGATCTCTGTCATTAGTCTGCTTATTCCCATACCAACCAGTTTTGTGACGGCTTGGGGTGACTCAGAAGGAAGGCGAGTGCGCATAAAGTAAGCACAACATCGGAGTGTTCTGGGTCTCCCTTCTACATCACTGGGTCCCCTGAACTCAAAATCTAACAATTGGGGGCGTACTGGCGCCTTGGCATCCTGCCGACATAAGATGACGGCCGTGGCCCACCCAGCTCGCACCGCTCAGGACATCGCCGAGAAGCACATATAAAGATTCAGCTTCATGCGACATCGAACAAACATTCGAAGGAAAAGTGAAAATCCAGACAGAGCAGGACAAATACAGAGGGGCGTTTGCTATGCGGTGTGTACTGTACAGAAAGAAAGAAGAAAGAAGTACAGGTGATGCATGGCGGTGAGATGTGATGAGATGGAGATGGCGTTAATGCGTACACAAACAGAGGACAGATGAGAAGAGACAATGGAAAAAGTTCAATTACAAGTGTATGATATCGTGGCTGAGGTAGAGTAGCGGATAGGCAAAAACGCTCAGTTCGCTGGGCGAAGATATTTCTCGTTCAGCGCGTGCACCTCCTTGGCGAGGTAGGGCCAGTTCAGACACCGTGCCAGCTCCTCTCGAAGGCGGCCGCGATCGCTCTGGGCACGCTCCTGCGCAAGCTTGACTTCCCAGCCGAGAAGGTTGTACAGCAGACGCATGTTCGGCTGGATGAGCACCGAGAGTCGGCGCGAGCGCACGATGAGGTAGGCGTCCACGAGCGGGATGTTCAAGTGCTTCATCACGTACGCAATCTACCGTACCTAATTAGCTTCTCCACTTTAGGACAGAGAAAAACGAGAACGTACTGTGACTGTTGCACTCCTGGATACCCCAACACGACAATGCACGAGCACCTTGCCGCCCTCCCTGCGCGCCTCGTCGATCCAATCACATATCGGCGGCAGCTGTGGCTCGAGCGAGTCGATACCGTCGTCGCACACGCCCTTAATGTCGAGCACCTTGATCCGGCCCTCGCGCTCTTCGATCCAGAGCGAGCCTGGCTTTGCGGTCGCGAGCCCCGCCTGGAAGGACCCATGGCCGTGCTCGGGTGGGATCAGCGCGCACTCGCCGACGGACACGACGTGTGTGATCCCGAGCGCGTGCAGCATATATGCGTTCGCTGCGTGATTCCTGCACCCAAGCAAATCAGCACGACATTCCTGCAACATACCCCGAAGCACACTTACAAGTTACCCAGATAAAGGAAAGGTAACACCCGACTCGGGAACGACCCGTCAAATCGCGGGTCGTTGAACCATACCTGGTGGTCACCCACCATCTTCGCGATCGGCGGCGGGAGGGTGCTCGCGCGCGGTCTCCGCACGTTCCCGATGACGCCATTATTGTTCTCCGCGACGGATGCACCCGAGCTTAACGCAGACGACTCGTCGCGCTGGTGCGCCGACTGCGCGACCGCGGGTCCAAGGAACCCGCTGTGCACGCTCCCCGCCGCGAACGACATGCTCATCGCCGCAGGGCGTCCGTGGCGCGTTGGTGAGTGTCCGGGCGTGCCTGGCCCTGAAGCACTTCCAGCGCCGGGGGTCGCGATGCCCGCAGCCACGGCGCGCTCGCGTTCGAGACGCTGCTCGACCCGGCGCATGGGCTGCACCTCAGTCGGATACACGAAGAAACTCCGGCGCTTCTCAATCTGGAGCTCGAGGTACGCCTCGGGAAGCGTCATCTTCCGCAGAGCCATCAGTATGGTCAGTGCGAGCGAGCTGCTCTCGGTGTAACCGTCCGCGGAGTAGACGAGGATCTTGAGCGGGCGCGTGCGCGTTGGTATGGGCGGCGTCGAGGGCGGCGGCGTCGCAGTAGGCGAGGTGAGATGTGTTGCAGAGGTGCTCCGCATGCGGGTGTACGACGACTGCGAACCTTGTGATGGGAGGAACGATTGCGGGAAGGAGTTGGGTGGCGGCAGGCTGCTCGGCCCACCGAACTGGCCATTGGGCCCGTGGTGAGTGCCGTAATGGTTCTGATTGTGATGGTGCGATCCGCAGTTGTATCCCTGCCTAGCAGCATGTCCAATCGTCGCGGCATTCGTGCTTCTCCTCATCAAAGGTCGCCCGTTCGTGCTTCCGTTTCCGTTTTGCGGCGACCAACGCCGGCTTTCGGCTTCCCGGCGCTGGCGTTCTTTGAGAGCAGCATAGGTTACTTTGCCATCGACAGGGCGGAAAAGTGTCTCAATCCAGGTGATAAATGGCGATATGCCGGCGCCCGCGTACGCAACCGAACTGGGGAATGGCAGATGTACGACCAGGTTCGCGGGAGGCGGCGGGCGTGGCGGGATCGCGTCCTCTTCGCCCAGACCGGCGCTCTCCTTCTCCATACGCTCACCAGAGTCTCGGAGGCACTTGTCCATCCACTTGCGCTCGAGCCTCGTGATGTGCTCTTCGGCAGCGCGCATGTGCGCCTGCGAGGGTAATGGCGCCATGTCGTCGCACTCGATGCAGATGTCGTATCCGAGGCCTTTCGCAGGGTCGTTCGAAGAACAGTCCCATTCTGAGGTAGGTGACGCGCTGCCGGGCGATATCATAACGGGCACGTCACTCGCGTTGCCGAGGAAGAGCTGTCCGCGTGTTGGGTCCCATTTGGTCTGCGTCGAGCTCGCGTTGAACTCCTTCAGGACGCTCTCCGTGTCGTCCAGCGGGTACGTCAAAATCTCGCTCGCCTGCGTCAGCTCCCGCATCTCGTCCTTCTCTCGCTGTGCAAACGAGATCGTGTTCGCCTTGAGAACGTTTGGCTTCGGGAATTCCGGCGGATCCTGTAATGGTGGAGTGTGATGCGTCGAAAGGACGTGCGACTCGCTAGCGGTGAGGCCCTCGGTGCCTTGTGTATGTGCACGATGCTGCCCCTCCTTTTGTGAGTCGCTGTGATGGTGGCCATTGACGACCTCGTCGGTGTATCTGCTTACGACATGCGGCATCTCCTTCACAACCTCCTCAGAGGTCGCGCAGAGGACAAACACATTGTAGTACAGTAAGTCCGTCTGCCCGCGCGCTGCACGGTGGGCACGCTTCGCCTCGATCGCATGTGCGAAATGGGTGGCGACCGCGAGCGCAGCGCGAGTGTTGCCTCGGGGCGAGTAAACGACAATGTCGGAGAGCGTCGCAAAGATCGGCTGGATGGTACGCCCCTCGTCAGCTTCACCAACTTCATGTGAAGAGAAGTATCATTACGCACGACTTGAATACCGAAATTCCGCAAGCTAATTCCCTCGGGGACGCGGGGTTCTACGAACCTCGTCTCACCTGTCTCGCGATCGATGCAGAGGAGCTCGCGGGGCTTGAACGTCGATGTAAGAGCCACACGCTCCGGGGCACTCTTTCTCCGCTCCTGCGAAGACTGCCTGACAGAGGCCATAGGCGCGTCGCGCATGATGTGATCTTTGTTTGCATCTTGCTGCTGCTGGGAAGACTTCTCCTCAGGAGTCGGGAGGGACGATTGTGGTGTCGGCGGTGTACTCGGCGAGCCTTCCAGTACCGGAGACGAGAGGGTCGACGAGGGCGGAGTGATCGACGATGCTGTCGAAGTCGTCGAAGTCGTCGACGCGTTGGACAGGCGGTGCGCATGCGCGTGGTGGGGCACTTGTTGTTCTGCGAACGTAGAGAATAGCGCCGTCAGCACGTGAATGACCGAAGAGCCGAGTGTTCCGCAGCAAAGAAAAGAAAGGAAAAGCCAAAACTAACAAAGGGAGAAGTGAGCCCGCGCAATCCCAGGCTTAGGCAGCAGTAAAAGAAGCGCGAGAAGTAAACAAGCTATCGGCTAGTGCCCCTAGGGGAAAACGGAATACCCTTCAGGGGTAGCCTCATGGCCTGGCCTCTCGTCAGGTGCCCAACAACCGATGCTTCGCCCGACTTCGGCCACGTTCTCAACCATACCGTCTCAGGTCATCCCTGACACCACCGACCCAATGGGAGTGGGCTCGACCACGAGAACGGCCGCGCGCAATCTCCATTGTGGCAGATAGCACAGGGTCCATTGAGTAACCCTGAGGGTGGGTTGTGAAACCCTGCAACTGAACTGAGGCTTGCACAATAGTTCCGGGGCGGCCGCGAAGATCCTCCGCCAGACCATGAACGGAAGGGCAAAACAAGCAAAGAAGCGAGCGGGCCAGACACATGCCGACAGCCGATGATCGTCCCGATAAGGCTAGCGAGCGGCCTGCCGAGAGCGGTCCCAGCAGGAGATCGACGGGAGAACACCATGTCCAGGCCGTAGCATGATACCAGGTCCGGTGGCGCTCGCACACCGACGCCACAATAGTGCGAGCTGTCGCAACGGCCGATCGCGCGCGGTGGGACTGCCGGTTAGTGTGCCTGGTAAAGTGTCGAATGAAAGTATGTTGGGCGGGGTCATGTTGCTGGACGCCGTCGATGGCTACCGAGCGGTAACCTAGTCGTGATGACGGACATCGGCGAACAAGCTTGACAATGCCGAGCACTTGATGCGCTTTGGGCGGGTTCGATGTATGGAAGCGCGGGGGAGCGAACAAAGCAACAGGACGCAAAGCACAAAAACTCGAAGCAACGCAGACGAAAGCATCAACTCACCTTTACCAACACCAGCCGTGTCTATTGCACTCAATGCAGGCCTTTGCGTGCCTTGCTTCTTCGCTCCTGCATTGCGAGGCGCGACGGGGTGCATATGCGCGCCCTCACCATGCTCCGCAAGGTCGACGCCAATCGCGCGCCCGTCGTCGTCGACGTCCATCCCGACGACATCGACATCAATGTCCATCGGCATTTCCGCCGCGACCACGCCGTTCGGCGCAAGGTCTTCTTCCTCCTCGACAGAGCTCGTGCTGTAGTCGTCCTCATCGTCCTCGAGGTCGTCCTCGTCCAGGTAGTCCTCGTCGTCCTCGAGGTCTTCCGAGCCCTGTCGTGCGGGCTGCTGCGACGGAGAGCGTGGCTGCCGCGAGCGCGCGCGCTGCTGAACTCGCAGGCTCCGCTCGTACTCCTCGACGTCGTCCTCGTCCGACGCGACCCAGACGAGCCCACGAAAGCGTGGCACCTTGGCCTTCACGCTCACCTTGACGCGTCCCGCGCGCCCACCGTCCCGGCCGTCTGGAGTAGTCGTGCCGACGAAGAACGCAGTTTGGGCGTCGTTGTCGCCCTCGAGGCCGTGTAGGAACGGGAAGATGACGCTGTCCGGCGCGTGCGTCGTGAGGTACCTCTCGTGCATCTCCGCGAACTGCGCTGCCGAGAGCCCGCGGATCGGCGCGGGGCCGTCTTCTTTCCTCCTCTGATCGTGTGCTTGCTGGGATTGTGGAGAGTGTGGTGGGCGCGGTGAATGTGGAGAGTGCGACGAGCCCGATGGTGAGGGCGAAGGTGAGCGCGGCGGCGACGTCGCAGGGGAGGTGTAGCTCGATACTGGTGGGTGCAACACGGGCAGGCTATCAAGGAAGGCTGCCTCGTACGCGAGCCCGTGAACCTTCTGTTCCTCGTCACCTTGCGGCTCGACGCGGCTCAGGTCGAGGCAGAGCGAGCTTGTGTGCAGCTGGTCGGGGCGAGAATTGACGCCGCCCATGATGCCCTCGCGCTGGGGTATAGCGTCCGCGAGGAGCTGAAACTGAATATTGCGTTCGTTGCTGTCGTCGGTCGCGTCGGCGTTGGGCGAGGGTGAGATCTCGTTCGGGATGTCGTCGAAGTCGAAGTTAGCGTTCGGCGTCGTGGAGAGGAGGTCCAGTTCGTGTGGCATGCTCTCTCCGTACGCGCGTAAAATGTGAAGTCTTCTAGTGTTCTACGCAATTAAGCCAGGCTCTAGATCAGGATCGCATGCAGGCGGGTGCGACATGGTGCGCCAAATTTTGGTGAAGCGTGGAGGCAGGCAAGACAAAAGGGCGTTCATATGAGCACTGAGCCGCCGAAGATGAGAGACATATACGCACGAAGCGATCTGCACTCCCGTTACTAAGTCCTTGCTGATACAGTACACTTTCGGTGATGTAGACACGGATCGTCTTCGTGTTCTGGCGGCTGCCGCGCGCGTTGATCGTCGATGAGTGTCGTAGGGGTATCAAGGTCGTGGTCGCGGTGGATATATGCGCAGGATGTGAGAAAACGAAGAGGTAGAGATGGTGGTGGTGGTGGTCGAGAGCAAGATAGAAAGGCGGAAGATATGGAGAGGGGCCAGTCCCGTCAGCAGACGCCTCTCTCGATAACCCTGGCTTCACACACCTACGGTAGAGCGTCCTATGTCGCAAGTCCAATATCCTTTTCCTTCCAAAATATAGCTGTCGGTTCGTCGTCGTTGTCGTGTCGAGTGTCGTCGTCGTCCGTCGCGGTTGAAGATGTCGGAAACAAGGGAGCCCACACGGGCGCCAAAAGTTAAACGTTTCTGTCGAGTCCGTTCCAGACCGTACCTGCTCGCCTGCAAAGCTTCCTTCACTCGTTGTCGCAGGGGTCCGTTGCGTTACCTGTCGTCTTCGTCGTGCGTGTGTTCGTCGTCGCTGTGTCGTGTGGGAAGGAGCAGCAGAAAACAGAGTTTCGAAACCCGAAGTCAAGAGCAGCAGACTGGGATCTCCCCTTCGTTGCCCGTCAGACGCCGAGGCTCAGAACCCATTTGGCCAAGGGCGGGGACACGGCAACTTGCCGAATCAAAAAAGGCATGCGCAAACCAAATACTTGGAACTATCAGCCAATGGCGGCCTGAGATCATTTGCGTAGGATCTCGATCTCTGGCGGCCGATGCCTTCCTAGTTAGAGACGATTCAAGGCCCATGATTGGTTCGAGGCCAAAGGCTTATCGAAGAGGAGCGGAGGAAGTATTTCTCACGCTTCTGGGACGTTGGTACCGTCGTTGACCGACGACGGCGACGGTGGCCATGACGGGCGTGGGTCGCGCACGGAGCTAACGGCCTCTACAAAGGTAGAGGGCCACGGCTCTCATGCATATTTCGTGCGATAGAGATGTGCGCGAAAGCCGCGGACTTTCTAGAGGACGCTCCCCGCCGTCGTGTACGACGGGCCCAGCGTCGTCATCGAGGTTCTCGGGCACCAGAAACACCATGCTTGCCACACCGACCACTCCAAGGTATGCCGTCGAAGCTCAGCACCGCTCGTTCGCACCTGTCAGAGAGCTCCTCCACAACACCGCTTCTCGCCATGCAAATTTTCTCCGCATCGAAGCTCTCGCGCACGCCGTCCTCCACGACACGCCGGTCACACGAGCAGCGCAGCGACACCTCCTATCCTCACCGTTTTCGATCGCAAACGACCGACATTCACCGCCCCGTTTCCCAACGGCGTCTTCGGCCTAGCCCCTCTCTTGACGGAGGGGGGTCATCTGTCCTGCGGACCTCACGTAACCTCTCACGCTACCCCGCCACAGAACAAGACATCCTGACCGCACTCAATAGGCTGACAGGTCTTCTCATCCAATCGTTGCCCACAGCAGGGTTCCTCCCGGCCATCACATCCAATTGCATCGCACAACGCAATCTGCGCGGCGCGGCGCTGATTCACGCGTGGAGGCAGCTGCTACCGGCCCCTCGGGCTCGTGCTAGCCATACGTGGCCTAGCGTGCGAGGGTCTGGTGATACACTGTGATACAGTATGCGCGGACACCTGAGACACCGCGGAGGCAGACGTGCTAGCAGGGTGGCCTGGCAGTGCGCCACAACTCCTCTTTTCGGAGGCGTGTGTGCCCTGTGTCGGTCTCAGCTAGGGGCGCTGGCAAGAGGGTGCATCGATTGGAGGCTGTGTACGGCGAGACAAGGCGCGTCGCCTTGCAGCTGAAGCGCAGGGCGATCATCTCTGCTCTCCCGCCCATGGCTGCGCCTCAACTCACGTTGACGTTGAAATGGCTATGCAAATCACGGAGCTGTGTGTTGCTCAGGCTCTTGGACGTCTCGCATCAGCCCTTCCTTCTCGTCACCCGTCACCCGGCCCCGTCCCTGGATGGCTCATACTGTTCCTTCATGTGCACTTGACGCAATGCCGGGGAGCTATTCCATAAGGCAGGGTCGACTGACACCAGCAGAGTAAGGCTGTGTCTATGCTTATCGTTTCGACATGACAAACACAAAAAGTTATTAATCGATTATCTTCAATCTCAGCCGGCATAAGTCGAGAGCTTGACGTACGGCGTAGAATGATATATTGCAACCGGTTCGGTTCGGTTCAGTTCGGTTCAGTGTGTAGACTCACGCATCCGCGTTGTGCACGGGATCCTGGCACAAGCGTATCCTCTACCAGCAGCCGCGACGCAGAGCTCAATCTTTGGTACGTGTCAGCCTCCGTAGCAACCGCACTCTTCTCTGCCTGACGGGTCCCAGCCGAATAAGATGCATGCATGTCAATCGTAAGGGCCAAAAAAGTAAGTGACGTTGCACTGTCCATACATGACGCACGTCATAGGCTTAATTACAAGCTTTAATTTACCCCGTACACTTCGCAAGTTGGAACGACGCATTTAGGCAACTGACACACCGGGAGCGACGGTACATGACAGGCAAAACGCCACAAAGGCGACGGGATGTCAAAGCGCGTCTTCTCATCAAGGCATCCCTCGTAAGTTTTCCCGGTAAATGCGCTTCCGCCGACATTCCCGAAGCGATGCATGCGGATCCGGCCAATCTGGGATGTTTACGACATACATAGGTCTCCGGGAGAATGTTCTCCGTCATCGGGTTCTCCAATTCCGCGGGTGCTTCCTTCCGCTTCGCTGCGCAGCACAAAACGAAGCGTTTCGCACGCCACACACCACCCGTTCCCCCGCACGGAGTCTTTTTTTAACGATTTACGCTTCGCGAAGCTTCCCATCCTGCGCATAGCAGCTGCCATCTTTGTTCGCGTATCCCTTGACATCACCGTCTGCCCCCTCTTTTCTGCGGAAAAAAATCGCGCTGGCATGGTACGAGTCGCGTGCTCAATGACACACGCACAAACGCGACTCCACAATCACACCGTGACCCCTGCCAGCTGATCCCCCAAGCCTACCCAAACACGTCCAGAAGCCGCCAGAAGCCGAATCCGCCTGAACGTTGGGGACGTCGTGCTCCACTTTCCGCTGATGCTGAGATGCTTGGTCGTCACCGTGCGACCGCGACGGCCACATCCAGCGGTGCCGAGATATACTGCCGCCGCGCCTTTTCTTTTCTCGCCAGCTGGGCGTGCCTTGCGCTCCGAGGCCTCTTTTCTTTTCGCTCGCTGGTCACCTCGTGCGTCATGCGGTGCGCGCCATATGAGCTCTGCGACGCTAGAAGCCCTGGTGCGCGGCGCGTGCCTCGGAGCTCGGAACGTCGGGCGCCACAGCCACAACACTTTTCCAGTGCGACCCCAGGCTTGTGCGAGGCCATGGATGTGCTGGGGACTTTGCATGTGGATGATGTCTTCGACGGCTCCGCAGCGGCAAGGATTACAGATGCGGCACTTCCCTACGGCGCCATCAGCGGGCATGTATCGGGAATGTGGCCGACCATACTATAGCTGGCCTGACGGTTGGGCGCCCCCCCCCCGTGTCATCGTTCGAACGTTCGCCCTTGATGTCACGATGCGCAAAAGTGTGGGTGGACGAAAGGCGAGTGCATATCAGCGTTGGTGTGTCCCCGTTCCTGACCAGTAACGTTCACCTCAGTCGCGATACCCAGTTTTCCACAGCACCATGATGCGGTGCTATCCATCTTGCCTCGAGGACTATCCGTGTACGATCCGCCTTTGTGTGGTGATCCTATGAATAGCCCAAAGCCAAAACGCTGCGTTCGCTGTGGTGTAGATTCTGTCAGGGCTAAACCTCAAGATCACAGTCGAGGGTGATATACACTGGTTGTTACAACTTTGTCGTGATAACTGGGGTTAGCCTGTGGCTTACGAATCAATATATAGTCGACAGACACCGCTGGGCTATTAGATTCCATGTAGACCTCTTGGCCCTGGTGCCGCTGCTCACCGCTCCCACCGCCAGCCTCACGAGTATGCTCCCTATACGTACAGCGAAGCATTTTATCGTCACAAGGACACCCAAATACAACAGTACTACCGGCTCAGCCTCCGATCACCCTACAGGTCACAGCCATATCGCCGCACCACCGCGGCGCAAAGTTTAAAGCTTGAGCTTGATCTCTCCGGAGAGAGCCCACGAGGACTGCGTCTCGTCTGCATATCATCAGCATGTGAATGCCTTCTGCGTGGATTTTGCGCTGGTGTACCAGGCACGGGACCCCGGGTGTCTGCGCTGTGGCGCGCCAGCTGACCGCCAAGACTCGGCATGCAGCTCTCTACGACCGCTACGCACAGCGGTATTGAGCCGTTCTTGCAATAGTGCGACGCCGCAAGTGCCGAAATAGCGCCGTTCAAAGGCGCAACTGTCATCGTAAATGTTGCATGTAAGCTTCGCACTTAGTCTAGCAAACCGTTAGCCCAGGAACACATCGTTCAAACTTCTCTATTACTCTGCTGCCAGATGGCGCGTGTATGTGCGACTCGGCTGATGTCCGTCACATTACGAAGTAGTGCTGCGATGATCGCGTCCCGTTAACATTTATGCTCGAGGCCTTGCCGGCGGTGTGCATCTCGGTACATGCCGTGATGGTCTGATGGCTCGAGATTGCGATCTTAGCATCATAAACGGCGGCAGCTTCTGAGCGTAGTGTTTCCCTGGTACATCACCCTTGCCAGCTCACGATACACGACCGCTTTCGCCTGCGATATGGGTGTACAATACTAAACGATCACATGAAACGCGTGTATGCGCTGAAGTTTCTACGGCGGCGACACCTCATGCAAAGCCTACCCCTCGATGCAGAGAATGCGCACCTAGACTTCTGTCTCTATGCGGCCAAATTAAGACACTTGAGACACCACACATCTCCGCTCAATCAAGTTTCCATGCCCGTCGGAACAGGTTAGATCGTGTCTCAGACTGTTTTGCGCTCCCGCTCAACTGCCACAGCCCGATCGAGCGGAAACGACACCCCCAGGTGATGTCGCGCAATTTGTTAGGGGAGGCTACAGTGCAGCCAATAGAGACTGCGGCAGGCGCAGAGAGGAGCTCATCAATCTTCCTTTTTATGGCGCAAGATGTCGATTGTGGCAGCCTCCGTCGTGGCGTTCGGCCTTCGCTATCAGCGCGCTGAGCTTATCTATGAACAAGCCATCTTGTGAGAGCCGAAGGCGCAGATGTCTCACCGCCTTATCACAGAATTGTTGTGAAAAAGTTGACCCCTTTGACAGCCTTTGACCCCCGAGTGAGCGGGCTTCCGCCCCCGACCCAGACCGCGGTGCGTCGACCAGCCATTTACTGCTTAGCGTGGGCTTATGCACGATCGTCACCCATGATGACGCCACGGCTGCTTTTCGTTGCGACGACAACCGGGATGACAGCCCGGGCGTCAGACGATTATCCGTCGGAGTCAATTATTCTTCCATAGGTTTCGTGGCGCCAGAATTGGTCTTCCTATCCTCCTAAGCTCCTGAGATGAGCTGTCAACCCCTGACTCCAATAAGCGCCACACACGTACCGCCGAACGTAACATTCACCGAGTATCTGTAATGCGTGAGCATCGCGCGTCAAACCTGAGGCGCGAGGCCTGAGTGGAGTGCGCGCTGTTCCATGCCCGCCCCGCATGTTCGCACGTTTCTCGTTCTCCTTGCGATGTGCACCCGTCAACAGTCTCGCTCGCGGAGGATACAGAGCAGCAATTTCCAATTAACCGCGGCACCGCAAAGTAAAACTCAAATTCGCGTCGATCCAGTTCCTATTAAAACAGCGCTGACATCAGCATGACATCCCACTCGTTCAGGGGCCGCCCTGCTTCTTTGGGTACGCGGAAACT